CCAACTCATGAAGGTAAGTTTGAGGGCTATGTTGTTTGTGTGTGTGTATGTATATCATCAAAACAATATTATCAAATCATACAGTATATAAATAATGTATCATTATTAGTTTATGGGTATATATCAATATATGAGATAATGTGATAAATATTATATACATGTAAAATTGTGTGTGTGTGTGTGTGTGTGTGTGTGTGTGCGTGCATGTAAAATCTTCCAATTGTGGGAAAAATACCTGGTAGAGTTTTAGAAAGCTAGATCTTCAGGAATACATTCAGTATTACTTTCTCAGTAATCACTTGAGAGAGTATCAGCTAAACATAATAATGTATGCATGAAAATCTTACTATTGTTCATTTTAACTAAAAGTTTAATAATAAAATTAGAATTATAATTATATAGGCAAATTATAAGTTTATAAATAAGATAAAGTTGAATAAGTATGAGTAGAGGTTCTATTTTATGATGTTATTTAAAATATTCAGTACTGAAAGTTGTAATTTGAAAAGTATGTTGCCACTAGGATTCTTAAAATACTGAGTAATAAATAATATTTATAAAACATTTTCTAGTAATTAAAGATAATATAGATCAATTTTGAAGAACAACAGAGGAAAACATTGTTAAAATACAAAACCCAAAATTCTACCCACAGATAATAACCAACGTTATCTGTTAACATTGTCTGCAACACAATTTTCTTTGCATATAATTGCGCAGTATACATCAATAACTGATATTACATTAATTATTTGTTTGAGGTCAATTATATATATTAAATTTTGCCCATATTAGGCAGTCATTATAATAAATCCCACACAGCTTTTATGGAAAAACTTTTGGGTTTTACATTTCAAAATAAATTATGTACACAGTGTCTCTGAAGTAAATATTGCCTTTTCATAATATTTGTGCTTAATGTGGTGATATTTTCTGGTGCATGGTGGCTTCAATGCCTTCTGCTTTCTCTTCTGCCACCAGTTGATGGAAATACTTTGCTTTGCACAACACCTGTAGTCTTTATGCACTAAAAATGTATCATATTCTGGCTACTCAGAAAGTTTTGTTTTCCCCAGAACTACAGAAATTTCACTCACCTATATCTATAAATGTATGGGAAAAGACATTCCAGTGATGAGCAGGTAGTGATGCTGCAGATGGATCTGATGTAGCTCCTCATTAATTTAGCAACTGGCAGTTACAGTAGCAAGATCTCTGTGGTGGATTGAGTAGAAATGGTCCTTACAGGCTCATATGTTTGAATGCATGGTCATTTTGGAATGGAACTATTTGAAAGGGATTAGGAGATATGGCCTTGCTGGTGTAGATGTGGCCCTATTGGAGGAAGTGTGTCACTAGGGGTGGGCTTTCGGGTTTTTGTAAGCTCAAGCGAGGCCCAGTAGCTCTCACTCTCTTCTTGCTGCCTCATGATGCAGATGTAGAACTCTCACCTGCTTCTCCAGCACCATGTCTGCCTGCGTGCCACCAAGTTCTCTGCCATGATAATAATGAACAAAATCTCTGAATCTGTAAGCAAGCCCCAATTATGTGTTCTCTTTCGTAAGAGTTGCCATGGACATTGTGTCTCTTTACAGTTATAGAACATGACAAAGACAGGGATGTCATCATAAATTTGGTCATCCACTGGGAGATAGATCTAAGTAAGGAAAGTCTAGATCCAAATATAAGTAATTTATAGTAAGAAGGTAAAAGCAGGAACAAAAAAGACGCAGGTGTAGCTAAAGTTATTCTATAGTTGCTACAAAATTAACATAATAATCATTTTAAACATGAAAAAAAATTGATGTAAGCATTTTTCAGAAATATATCATGGAACTCTTTGTTTTTCACAGGCTCAAAACGTTTCTCTGAAGATGTAATGGAAAAGCTGGTCTTAGTATTGGCAAATCTTTTTGGAAGAAGATATATTCCAGCCAAGTTCCAAGATGCTGACATCAAGGATTATCAATCAAAGGTAAAATCATCTAATAAAATTATTAACAGTAGTACAGAAATTATGCCAGAAATTATTCTGCAGCAATAGGATTTTATGAATATGTGATAATTAATGCATTTTATATACAATTTGTTACTTTGGGAAATAGTGTGATATTTATCTGTAATTCAAAAGTCCATCTGTGGATCTGTTCAAAGGTTACATACATACATATGTATGTAATAGGATGAAAGTATATTCATGATTTTAATTGATTGCATCCAAATGCAGCATTAATGAAAATGTGTAAAAGGCCTGGGAAGAGGACTTGATACAATGCTTGCCATGCAAGCATGAGGATCTGACTCTGGATTCCCAGTACCACGGTGACACATCTTGTAATCCCAGAACTGAAAAGGCAGTGAAATGATCCCTGAAGCTGGCTGGTCCAGACTAGCTTAATTGGAGAGCTCTAGGTATGGTTAGAGACTATGTTTCAAAATATAAGGTAGAGAACACCCATACACATATTCATGTTCATATACACACTCACATACAATGTAGCTAATTATGCATTTCATCCCCAAAGCCACCCTCATTGTTGTATGTGTGTCCTGAGATATGACTGTATGTCACAGTGTCATCTATGAAAAAGCGTTACAAAGTTGTCTGGGAAACTGTCCCTTGACTTCCAGAGTCTAAATATTACAAACAGCTTTCAAATTTTAATAGTACCATATTTCTTGGTCATTTTTGAAAAAGTGCATTTGTCCATTTTATCAAAACAGTCATATATATTTCCCTGAGATCTTTCATAGCAGTCTTTTCTGCTCTTCTTGCTGTTTTGAGTTGACTCTCTCAGGAATATCCATGTAACTTTCTGATGTAGCTCTGATAGCATGGATGACAATGGCAGAAGTTTTTTCTGCACAGTTTTTCAGGTCCAGAAGTGTTAAATGAAGATGGTTTTGGGGAAAATGCTTTCTAGGTTGTAGTTTACCATTACAAAACTTAAAAAAAAAAACAAAGAAAATTAGAGATACAGTACTTTCATGTGTACAGATTGAAAAAAATAACCCATTTTAGCACAATAAATACAGTGAGAACTTCAAAACTTCTCAACCAGGTGAAGTTGACTCCAAACCTGAAAATATGCTCTATCTTCTTTGTTCTGCATACGTGTCCCTAGATCCTTTGAGATTATTCATGAGTCCAGTGGCAGTGGAGGACGTGCTTCTGCTCTTACAAGAGCAAATTTTATGGGTAGAGCATTTGTTTTTTACAAGTGCAAATAAGAACAAAAACATTTTAGTCTTACTTCAATCAAGAAAGGTAGGAAATACGTTTTATTGAAAATAATAGAGTTATACTATGTGATCTTACATTGTTATAACTTCTCAGTTTTTAAGGAAGGTGTTCTCTGCTCTCCGAAAAACCTTTGGCATTTAGGTGTTCCTTGATGACCTCCCTGAGGACTTCAGTGAGGCCCTGCTTGAGTACAACACTCAAGTGACAGAGGACTTTGCTGCTTTTCTGCAAATTGTGTCCCGATTGGCTGATATGAAACAGGAATATCAACTCCCCTTGTCAAAAATTGGTAAGTGTGTTTTAGTTCCACCATGGAGCAATTTAGTAATAGTCTTGCCCAAGGATATGCAATATGGATGTTAAGGATGCAGGTCATTGGCAATGCTCCAACTCTACCATTTTTGTCTCAGAAGGCTAGCACTTCAGAAAAGTCAGCTTGCCTTATGATAATTGGGTTCTTTCTAAGCTTTTACAAAAAATGAAACAAAAATGAAGTTTGTGATTGACAGTTAAAAGGGCAGTGGAGAATGAAACTAAAACCAATTATATCATTTATAAACTGTTTTGATTGAGAGCTGACTTTGGGTCAATCTCTAAGACAAGAGAAACAAGAGAAATTCTTATGACCACTTTTCAGGAGAGGCTTGATATTGAATATCGTAGACTGTGAGCAGATTTCCTGACTCTGCTAATTCTTACCTTTGAAATTTGGGAAAGTGATGCCCTAGTCATGTCCTTGCTTTGTCTATGGACACTTGAAATAGAGAATAATATTTTTAGTATTATTGAGCTTCAAATGATTGGTTTAAAATGATTAGTGAATGCAAATATCTTGAGCTTTATAAATATATGGGAAAATAGTTTGATTTTGTTGTTCTTATTTATAACCAATAGATAGAAATCATAAACAGAAAAGGATGGCAGATATAAAACTTTCTTTGGGGAGAAATGCCTGTGGCTCACTGTACTTTACCATCTCCAATTGGGGAAATTCAAGGAAGTGGAGTGTGTATCCTCTTAGACTCTATAACTGTAGGACAACATGAACAAGAGCAGACAGTGATGGCAGGCACACACTTCTCTGGGCAGATAAGATAGGAGCAGGCAGACATTCTGCCTCAGTGACACACTAGAGCCTACTTGATGATATGACTTGGAATTTTCTAAGAACAGAAATGCATAGTATACATACTCTCATAATCATTTCCAAGCTTACTGATAGTGGACATTAGAATTCCATATTTAGCCTATTACCACACCACTCTGAACATGCCCAATCTTGTTGGACCTGGAAAGCTAAGCAAGTTGGGCATGATTAAAACCTGGAGAGAACACTGTCTGGAAAGATTCTAAGGCCAAGTCTGATTCAATGGGAGAAAGTTTCTAAAGGTAAGATATTTCTGCCTAGGAGGCCAGCCTCCAGGCAACACAGGATTTGAAGGGAAAGCCCCAGCATTGGAATGTACTAAGACTTTTATGTGGTCCCTGATAGGTTCAATGACATCTCTTTTCAGCTTGGTTTAATTGTCATACAAGGAAATGAAGTTTGATGCTTTGGTTGTATTTAAAAATGAATCTTCCATGCTTTTAATTTCAGCACTCAGAGGCAGGGGGATCGCTGGAGGCCAGAGTGGTCAATCTGGTTTACATCGAGAGTTCTTGGTCAGCTGAAGAAACATACTGAGACCTTGTCTCAAACAAACAAAAAATAAAAGTTCAGTAACAAAAGGGATCTATCTCAATCTGTTCTGATCAGAATTCACAGGTAAGGACCGTGAAGACTCTCCACTTCTGTCTCACCTGATGAGCTGCAGGGAAGGAAGGACGGCAGTTTCACCATTTGTCTGTCTGTCTGGAAACTTTGATGTGGATTTGCTTCGTCCAGGAGTTTCAGATAACGTAAGTAAAGAGTGATGTTCATTAATCAGTCTCTCAGGACGTTTGCTGCAGTCTGAGTGGTGTATGGTAACAGACTGCTGTTGAGGCTGTGGAACGTTAGCACACAGATGATAAAAAATTGTACTTTCTATTGTAAGAAAAACATTTTTTATTAAATAATTAAATTTCCCAGCCTGATCACAGATCACAGTTTCCTCTCCCTCCTCTCCTCCCATTCCCTTCCTAGCCTCCCCTCTTCCCTCAACAGCCACCCACTTTTTCTCCAGAAAAGTGCAGATTTCTCATGTATTGCAGCCAGTCATGGGATATCAAGAAAAATAAGTTTTTAAGAAAAATAATTTTGGAGCTTTTTATTTCATATGGATGACTACTTAGATTGGTAGTTAAATAGTTTGAAAAAACAATATTAATCTTTAAGCATTATAGTTTCCTTTCCAAAGATGGATATGATAGCTCATGCCCATCATGTAAGTGGGGATGCTCAGTGTAACTGGAGATGCTGAGACAGGAGGACTGCTAAAAATGTGACTATTGCATAATGAGCTTCAGGCAGGGTAGAGTGTGTTCCTGTTTCATGATGAAAGGGGGGTAGAGGAAGAACAAGAGGAATAAGAAGACAATAGTGAAATAATTCTGCTTTCCATTTATTATGCAATTAACTCAATTTATAAAATGTAACAATCACTTTTGCTTTCTTTTTATATGTAGAGTTTCTATGGCAATTCAGGGGGGGGGGTGTTGATACAATAAGAGTAAACGAGAAAGTCTGTATCTTATTGCTGCAAAATCAGCGTTAGTTAGAAGAGACTTAGGTGCATACATGAACTCATTCTCACTGACACTCGCTGCCCACCGAGTTTTAGAAAGCAGTTTCTGCTTCCATTTCCTCCGTTTTGAAGCAGCTGGCATAGCTGAAGCAGAGTTTCTGAAAAGAACAGAGAAAACGACTTATTTGCTCTCTTCCCTTTTAATGCTTTTGCTCTATCCTCTCTCTACTCTTTTTTATTATGGTTGTTGATATGGAAGAGCATTATACTTTTCCAGCTTAATATTTCTTTTGTGAAATGCTTGCCTCCTGCTCTCGGAAACCCATTTGCAATGTTATTCTCTGAATTGTTAAGGAGACTTTAAAATTTTTCAGTTCTCTTTTATTTCCTAGTCAGTCTTGCTCTATTCCAACAGGACTGGTGAACTTGCCATTAGCATGCTGCGTGTGTGCGGGTCTTCTTCACAGGTGGAGCTAAATCATGCTCTATGATGCACTGTCTCTGTGTGTGCAGAAGGCACCTGCTCTTTTATCAACAGAGTGTTCTTGAAAAGTATTAATGAACATGAAACGACTCCAAGTTCTAAATCACAAGCATTCTCTCTATATGAATAACCACTCAAAAATTTTATTTCTAGGTTGTTCTGCACACAATTGGTATCGATCACACCCAAGCCCCAGTCCTGTGGCCACACGGATTCGATAGTACAGGAAGAAAAATGCCACTTAGCGCATATGCACTTGACTTTTATAAGCATGGATCTCTTGTGAGATTAGAGAAGGAAAATAGGTATGTTCACTCCTGATAATTCCAAGAAATGGTTAACCCTGCCAAGCATATTAAATTTTTACTTCCAGACTGATGGCAAAGATGATGACATACTCTATACTACTTTTATTTCTAGTTTGTCTGCAAAAATTTGGCATTTAGGCCAACTCACTTGACCAAAATATATACTCTAAATGTGTCTTTGTGAATATTCAAATATATCTTTATATTACAGTTCTACTTAGTCATCATTTGGAATTTTAATGACAAATAACAATCTGGTATTGCTTAATGCCTGAGAGAATATACAGTGTCTAGTTTGCTTACCTGGTTCTGAGACAGTTATTTTAGCTTGTTGCCAGGGAAATCATTTCTAAAAGTGTAAGCAGGACCAAGCATTCCTTAAGTCACTCTGCACACAATTGCTGTGGTCACAAAAGTTGGACAGTCATGAAAGAAGACTGTCACTTAACACATATGCATTTGGCTGCTGCAAGTATAATTCCTTTATGAGGTTTGACCAGGTCAATAGGTATCTTCTTTCTTGATAAATTAAAGAAATAATCTGTCCAAGCATTTCAAATATTCACTTCCAGGGAAATACTCAGGAAAATGTCCGTGAGCAGAGATGTATTCGTCTAAGTGCTAAACACATACATCTAGAGGCAAATACACTAAGGAATTAAACATAGAGTTGATATGAAAATATGAGCAATCCACTGGGCAATGCTGGTTCACACCTTTAATCCCAGCACTTGGGAGGCAAAGGTAGGCAGATCTCAAAAGGCAGAGACAGGCAGATCTCTGTGAGTTTGAGGCCAGCCTGGTCTACAGAGTGGGTTCCAGGACAGCCAGAGTTGTTACACAGAGAAACTCTGTCTTGAAAAACCAAAAGTGAACAAATAAATAAAAATTTAAAAATTGAGCAATTTTTATTAAGTTATAAAAAGTTTTGATAGTCCTCAGAAACTTGAAACACTATCGTTTATTAATCCCAATTTATTATTGTGAATAAAGTAGCTGTTGCATTAGTAGATAATATTTTTGTTTGTTTTAAAAACTTATTCATTGATATTTTCATAATTGTATATAAAACAACACGACTATACACCTACCCATATTCTTGTATTTCTTCCCAGTTGTACCATTTTACTCCAGCAAATCATCCTCCCATTTTGAGTCTTTGAATTTTGTTTTCTTTCATTTTGTGACCCATTGAATTATATGAGGGCTGCCTGCATCAGTGTGGGGCATAGGAACCCACCAGTGACTACAATTCTGAAGAAAACGATTTTTTCTTCTTCAGCTCACAGGGCCCTGGTTGTTCTGAGCCCACTTCTCATCCATGCCTGATGTTAGTGGTCCCTCTCTTACACAAACCCTGTGCAGGCGACCTCAGCTGCTGGGAGTCACGCCACGCCCTGAGGTTGGCATTACACAGTACTCCCCTCACTTCCAGCTCTTGTTCTTCTTGTCTCTTCTTCTGTGATGTCCTGCCTTGGTGAGGTGCCATAGATGTCCCAAATAGGTATTAGTGCTCACAATCACTTATTCTCTGCACTTTGACCAATTGTGAGCCTCCACTGGAAAATAACAAAACCAACACCAAAAACTGTAAGCAAAGGCTGAGTTGTTTCTTTTGTCTCATGTGCTGTGGCATGGTCCCAAATAAATGCACAAAAACTTGTACTAATTATAGGATGCTTGGCCTATTTCTCAGTTTTATTACTAATTAGATTTTACAATTTAAATTAACCCATTGTTAAAACCCAGGAGGCTGACCCCAAACTCTCAAGCATCGATCCTGCCCTAACCTCCCAAGTTGCTGATATTATAGACATGAGTCACTGTACCTGGCCAAATGAACCTATTTCTATTAATCTACATTTTGACACATGGGTAAATGGCATTGTCTATTTTCTAGCATGTCTGGTTCCTCTGGTTGCTGGCTCACATCTTTCCAGATCCAGCCCTTCTTTCTTCCTGTATCTCTGTTCGACTTTCCTGCCTAGCCTGATTCTGCTTGGCAATAGGCCAATTAAACATCATTGTCATCATCATAATCATCATAATTTTGTTTTGTTTTCTGAGACAGGTACTAACTGTCCTAGAACAAGCTCTTGTAGACCAGACTGGCCTCAAAATCATGGAGACCTGCCTTGCCTCTGCTTCCCAAGTGCTGGGATTAAAGGTATGCAGCACCACCCGGCTAAGTTTGCATTATTATTAACCAATGAGTGAAATACATATTCACAGCATACAAAACTATTATCCCACAGCAAAAACCAACCAAACAACCAAACAAACAAAAAATCCATTTCTGTGATCATGTCCAAGATATAGGCCTAATTTATGGGTGTAAAAATTCAGAGCAAATATTTTTTGTCATTAATTTCAGTTTTATGTTATTTAGGATACATCAAGGGAGAGCTTATGATCTGCTAAAATTTTTTGCCTCCACCATCAAATCTATCAGGTATGTTACATGTTGAAATATTACTTTCATATTTTTCAGAAATTTAATTGTAATTTAAAAATGTTGAGATTCTTGTCATGAACCAGGTATGGAAAAGTATAGGGAGACTGTTACATACTACTTATTTCTACTTCCCAGAGGGTTTATAGAATCCTCCTATGCACAACCTTTTGGTTATGTTCTGTAATATAATTAAATTCATAGTACTTTGGAGATTAAGGTCTATCCAGAGAGAGTCTCAGGCTCAGGCACTAACACTAACAGGAAACTAGTCCAGAGCATCGTTGATACCACATCCTGATATTCCCAGTGTTCTCAATTGCAAAATCTTGTTAAACACATATGTTTCTGATGTACCATTAGTTCTCCAGGATATATCATGTGCTTGCTCTTGAATATCTTGCTACAACCTATATCTTTCTACGGGGTTTGTCTGACTGTCAGTGCATAGCCACTTCCTATTTTGATCTGCAACAAAGCCCACTTAACCACAACCAATCTTAAACTCTATATGAGCACCCCATTCTTGGGCTCCATTGGCCAAATAACATCACCTAATTAAATGACCATCATCCTAGTCCCTCAGGTCTAAATGTATTTCAACACCATAATAAATGTTCTTTATTTTGTCACAGGTATATTCAAAATGATCATAAATCTTACTATTATTGCATCCTTAATAAGCAATCATTTGTTTTATTTCTTTGATTAGAGCTGAATTAGGCCTATATGTAATTTTTATATACACAGTGTGAAATTGAGGCATACAAGAGCAGAGGGAATAATTTTATTCATCTATAGCAGTGGTTCTCAACCTTCCTAATGCTGTGACCCTGTATTGCGATTTCTCATGTTGTGGTGACCCCTAAATACACAATTATTTCATTGCTAATTCATAACTGTAATTTTGCTACTATTTGAGTTAAATGTAAATATCTGATATACAGGATATCTGATATGTGACCTCCAAATGGGTCATGACCCACAGGTTGAGAACCACTGATTTGTAGCATTTCTAGATGATAATTATCCAAAGTATAAACTTGAGAGCAACCCAGAAGCCTCCAGAGATACTAGAGTTCAGTGCAAAGCCAGGCTGAAATATAAAACATTAATTCACTCATTCATGTAACCAATCTCATGTGGTTGTATCATTGTTTTGAGACACTTTTAAACATTTCAGGAACAAGGATTTTTAAGTCTACTTCCACCTTTACAGTCGTTGTATTAGCTACTTTTCTGTTGCTGTGAACAAGGCGACTTACAGAAGAAAGACTTAGTTTAGTTTATGGTTCCTGAGAAATTTGAGTCTATTTCAGGAAGATAACTCAGTGCTACATTTTAGAATTAGGTCTGCATATTTTGAGCATCATGGATACAGAACAGTGATTTGAGTGTGGTATTGATCTACAGTCTTTCTATGTGGTTGAGATGTGTCAGATTGCCTCATAGTGTGCAACAGTGAGGGTGGTCAGAAATGAATGAAGGTCTGAACTAAGGAAACAGAAGTAATGATTCAGGATATTAACTCCACAAATACTTGTAATTGAAGCATTGATACTGAAGTTCATATACTGGGAAAAGATGACCAAGGTTTAAATTATAAATCTCTCTCTTTCCCTCTGTCTCTTTCACACACACACACACACACACACAAACACAAACACACACACAGTTCATTATGAAAGTGACATTTGTGGTTATGTACAAAAAATAGTTAAAATTTATTTATGTTGTGGATATCAGAGGACATCACCACAGTGATTAGTCTGTAACTGAGAACTAAATTAATGTTGCTGATAAAGATTGCAGTTTGTTGATGAGTAAAGACCCAGGGAAGATGTATCTCTAGTAAGGGCAAAATATTAAACAAAGAAAGGCAAATAAGATGTCAGATAGGGATTTATTTCCACCAAGGCTACTCTCTATGAACTGTTAAGTTCTGTGTTTCTTCTTCCTTTCTTCACACCTTTGTAACAGTTTCTTAATGCTGGTGTAGCAAGTTGTCACTTAGTGATATAAACCTACTTAAATCTTACCATTCTGGAGGTCAAAAGTCAAAAGTGTGTTCCACTGGGTAAAACTGGGATTCTGGACACTCTGGTGGAAAACCTTGACTCATTCCCAATTTTTAGGGCTTGTCTGCATCATTTTAGGGGTTCCCTGCTCACTATTTCATTATGGCTTTGAGGTCAGGGATGTTCAGTGGAGAGAACTGAGACTGTGGATCAAGTGTCCACATTCCACCCCTCTGACATCAGTTCTCACTTTCCCCACACCATGAGCACTCTGGAGAAGTCCATTGGCTCCACCTAGAGGACCAGAATAACCCCCTGCATTCAAGATTAACTATTACCTGTGGCCTCATCTGTGATGGTAACTCTGCATTGACATGGAGCCTAACGTGGTTACAGGTTTCTGGGGATTTAGGTGAGCACATCTGAATTAGATGAGGACCATTATTCTATTGGCCGTGTCCTGCTTTCGTTTTTTTCTCACCTACCTAGAAAAAGAAAGGAAGCTTTTCTTCTCTATCATGGATTACAATATTTTCTGGATACAGTACAGAAAAAAAAATGCATCAGAAAACAACAAAAACAAAAACTCCACAAAGTATGTCCATAAGATAAACAGTGAAAAGAAAAGAAATTTTTCTTGTATTATTTAAGGGAGCAGGGATCCACGAACATAGAATGTGGTAGCCTCTCAATTATCCTTTGTAATGAAGACACTGCACAGAACTCCTTCTCTTATTTTTCTATTTCTTTTTTGTTTTGTACATACATAAATTGGTTAATGAATTTGTTTCTTATCAGTATTCTATATAATTTGCTAATATTGTTTCATCATTTTACAGGACATCCTGTTTTTATAATACTCATGACCCTTAGTTGACTAATAGTATATATATATATATGTATTATTCTATTTGCAGTGTCTCCTTACGTGAACTGTGTGAAAATGAAGAAGACAACGTTGTTTATATATATATATATATATACATATATATATTCTTCTATTTGCAGTGTCTCCTTACGTGAACTGTGTGAAAATGAAGAAGACAACGTTGTTTTAGCATTTGAACAATTGTCTCAGTCTTTTTCTGAGAAGCTTAGAATAGTGTGAAAAGAAAAACTATGTAAATCACCTAAAATATCACCATAGAAGCTTTGGAAGTTGTATATTTTTTATTCTTATGTTTTGATCAGACAATCATACACAATGAAATGGAATGAGCAAGCTACTTGCTGTGTTTGGCTCTGAGCACCCTTGGCTGTACCACTTGGTGTGCCTAAGTTGTGGTTTGTATAAATGATTGTCTAAAAATGCTTATGTATCCAAATTATAGATGATTGAATGAGAAAATGAAGGATATATATGTATATATATATATATTTGAAGAATTTTTATACTCTACAAGATCCAAACAAAAAATTGTATTGAAATATTTTCACTGTTAATAGATGTAAAAGTTTATTGAAACTAGAAAAATAATAATTGCAGTATCCTGAAAATGTAATATAGTCTCCTAATAAATATAAAATGATTATATTGCTTAGAGAACTAGCTGTTGAAATTGTAAATCTTATTAAATAAGCTGCTTGTAAAAAATTATTTTTATTTATTTTTGTAAAGCTTTAAAAGAAACGAGTAGCTAATATTTTGCTCCTTTTTATTTGTATATACATGATTGTTGAAATAAAGACCTCATTGGTTTCATTTATGTGAAATATATTCAACTAGTAATTCACTTGCATGGTACCATTCATTCTCTAGAACTATTTACATAGGTCATTCTGTAATTGGGACCGTAGCCTGAATTCTCATCTCTAGAATCTATTTGAAACCCTCAATTCGAATTTACAACACCAAATCTTTAAAACAAAGGATGAGTCTCTTCTGTTACTCAGGCATTTCAATGCTCTTTTTGGTGGCATCATAAATAGATCGTAGTGATTTAAAAAAAACTGTTATTGTTCATTTATTCCTGAAACAAAATAAAATTCTAATTACTGAAAATGATGTAGCATTTCACGAGCAATGTTTGCATCTCTGCCTTGGTGGTGGTGGTGTGGGATGCAGTCTAAACTCCTTTCTTTAAATGTTACAGCAGTGCTGTAAACAGAGACATTTAAGATCCTGCCTAGCATCTCCTAATTGCTACCCAGTGGAACGTTACACAATGTGAAATTGATTGTTATGTTATTTGTAACTCAATGCTTGTACATAGGAGTCCAGATGGGAAAAGAAGATTCCCCAACCCCTATATGCCAAATCTAACCTGGCTTAAGGAGTTTTCGAAGAGTGAGCTCATTTTTGCCATCTGGGGTCTTCTTAAAAGTTCAGGATTATTTATATGTAACATCTTTGAAGTGCGTCCCCTAGGAGTGGGAGTAGACTGCTTCTTTCGTCTTTAGCGGAATCTAAAGAGAAAGCAGGAACAGTTTCCCAAAAGTTAATTTAGGAGAAACACATCGGCAAAAAGGTGGTGCTCAGAAAAACCTACAAAAACTATGAACTGGGAAGATATTTTCCTAGAATCCTTTAGAACAAGGTAGAGCTTATGATGATTCTCTGGACCCCAGATAAGATTAAAAACCAGGCAATGAGAGGAAATCCTAGGCCATGATACTTATCCCTCAAATTTGGCAGGTTTCATACATGGAAAAATATCCCAGACATAAGTGAGTTCTACGTTGAAGAAAGTGAGTTCAAGGTAGACAAGCTTTACCCTGTCTCCTAGGTCTCTTTCATGGAGTTCAAACCTACCACTGTCCACAGAAGCAGAGCATGGGTCTGCATTGTTCTAGGCAAATAAAGTTTGGGTATGAGTCTAAAAGCAATGAGACATGAAGTTGGCAAGATCAAGCTTTAGCAATCTTTAATTTTCTGCATATTAATCAACCAACAGAAGTAGAGAAAACCCTAGAAAAGGGGGGTAAAATGAAGAATATGCAAGGAACTAAAAAAAAAAAATCCCTAAACAGAGAAAAAACTCAAGCAATCACAGAAAATAAACAAATGACATCAATAGGCAGTTTTCAAATGTGTAAAGATACAGGAAAATTTACTCAACTCTAGTAATAATAATTGAGGAAAGGAAAACTAGAAAGAATTACATTAAAATGCATCCTCTCCGTTGACTATGCCAAAAATGGCAGAAATAAGATGAAATACTATAGACACCTCATAGAAAAAAGGAACTTGTGCATTTTAGGTGGGAATGTTAATTCATGCAGCTATTTTGAAAAATAACATAGATGTTTCTCAATATATATGAGACTGACATATATCATTTCCAGATTCCACTGCTGGAAATTTAGAGACATCTGTAACTGTAGGCCACTTGTAGCATTCCTAACAATAAGCCAAATGTAGAGTATAAGTGTTGGGTAAATGAGTGGTTACAGAAGAGTGTGCGTGTGTGTCCATATATAGAGTGCTAACCAGTGACCAAAATGTGAACGTGTGTCAACAGCAGAAATATGACTAAACTGGAGAACAGTGTGTTAAATTAAATAGGACACACACACAGACAATGCACACAGAAGTAGGAAGAGCTATGGAAATAAAGTAACAGTAAAATGGTGGATATTAAAGGCTGGGAAGAGTCTTGAGTGTTGAGTAGAAAATGGATGGGACAAGTAGAGGGGAGCAGTTGTTTGGAGAAATACTTTCTCATGCTCTATAACACAGCAAGATGATTTAGGGATGTCAATTAATTACACATTTCAAAATAGCAAATAAAATGTTATATCTCTCTACTGCAATGAAATGATAAATATTTGTTGTTGGATGTACCAGTTGCCCCAATCTGATAGTGGTACATTGCAGTGAAATATTACAGTGTATTCCTTGTATATCTCCATGTGTCCATTAAAGTAATAATAAACACACTCAAAATATCAGTGACATTTCTTTTTCTGAAAGTATATTTATTTTACTGAGTGGCGGTAGCGATTGCCTTTAATCCCAACACTAGGGAGTCTGAGGCAGGCAGAGCTCTATGAGTTCGGGGCCAACCTTGTCTACAAAAGTAGAGCCTCCAAAGCAACAGAGAAACCCTGTTTTGGTAAAAAGAAAAGAGAGGGGGGAATGGAGGGAGGGAGAGAGGGAGGGAGGGAGAAAGGAAGGAAGGAAGGAAGGAAGGAAGGAAGGAAGGAAGGAAGGAAGGAAGGAAGGAAGGAAGGAAAGGAAGGAAAGAAAAGGGCAGAAAGAAAATGTATATTTATTTTTATTTTATGTGTATGATTATCTGCCTGACAGTTTGTATGTGTGTTATGTCGTCTCACAAATCAGGAGAGAGTAGGTTTCAGTGAAGACAAACTATTATGACCTGTATCTATGAAGATGCTCAAAGGAAACCCATCTCCCTAGGAGATAGGAACACTCGATTATATTAAGCCTGTATACTTTTACCAATATTTAAAAAATGAATTATTTTTTTCGTTATGAAACTCCAACTTCCCTTATAATCATCTTCTTTTTCATTCTAGAAATTGTTTTCCATTCATCATTTTATTCTTCCCCCATTGGATGACCTTTTTATTTTATCTTCATAGTTAAAGAGTATTTACCAGTTGGTATGTTGTCATAGCCATGAGAGACCTTGTCTCAAGGCAATGAGAAGGAGAGTGATGGATGAATGCCCTCAACATCTGCCCTGACATCAGCGTGGGCTGGCATGCATGCATACATGGAACACACACGCACGCACGCACACACACACGCACACACACACGCACACACACACACACTTTTTCTCTCTCTCATGTATACACATTCACTCACTCTATCTCACACACACATACACACTCACATATACACCCTCACTCAAACTCTCACATACACAAATCTCATGCACACTTTTTCTCCCATACACAGAGTCACTCATTCTCTCTGTACACAGTTATACTCAGAAAAAGAAACTCAAACAACCTTGATGGTCTTTGACTCTGACTTGAAAACACAAAGATAAAAGTCTATGAGATATCAATTTTCAGTCATGGAGGTTCCCTTTTTAGATATGTTCTTCAGTGTTTGCTGTTTGTTATTTTGTTGATCTTTGTCATTTTGTGGGATAAGATAGAATCTCAAAGTTGTTTTTTTTATTTTACTAATTGTTATTGATCATGAACATAAATTGAGATATTTCTTACCATTATTATTTTTTCTTTTGAGAACTCTCTTTAGTACCCAAGCCCAGTATTTGTGTTGTTTTCTGTGTGCCTATGTGTGTGTGTTTTGTTTTGGCTGTTTTTAAATTATTTATATATTCTATATATTGATGTGAGATTCCCCTATGTATGTTGCGAATATGTTTTATTGCTATTGGCTAATAAAGAATCTGCTTTGACCCATGGCAGGGCAGAATAGAGCTAGGTGGGAAAAGTAAACTGCATGCAGGGAGAAAGAAGACAGAGTCACATAGATGCCATGTACCTGCCAATGGACAAAGATGCCAGAACCTTACTAGTTGGCCACAGCCTCTCAGTGATACATAAATTAATATAAATGGGTTAATTTAAGATGGAAAATTTAGCTAGAAAGATGCATGAGCCATAGGCCAAACAGCATTATAATTAATGTAGTTTTGTGTGATTATTTGGGTCTCGGTGGCCAGGAAACCAACGCAGTCTCCTTTTACAATGAGACACATCTGCTCCTAGCAGCACCAGCTACTTCAAGAGGAAGATGGGCATTGAAGAGGCTCCTTATGGAGTTTGCTAGCCATTTGATCAAGAAACTGCTTTTGCCTGGACTGCTTCATTGGACGTGTAGTACCCACAGAGAGATGACTGCTGAACTTGTCTAAAGATTAGATGGTCCTTTGGGGTTTGTGCTTCATGGAAGAGTCTGAGAGACATTTTGTAAAACACAGAAGAGAGTGACTGAACTGTCTTTGGAAATTTCCTGCTTCATGGAAAAGTCTGCTGGATACTATTGGTCTGTAGGCTAAAGATAGATGCCTCAACAGTGCAGAAGAACTTTGAGTGACTGTGCAGGCAGTGAGATGTCTCTGTCAATTCTAGAGTTTTGGAAGTTGCTTACAATGCACTTCCTGTTTAGTTAGTTAATACTATATCCTTCTGGAGTCTTTGATGGAGCTGAAGAATAGATAGTTATTATTATAATTTTCCTCAGTAATGATAAAAGATAAAATAGATATAAATATTGTAACCATAGATTTTGCTTGATACCTGTTTGTTATATGTAATTTTACTATGTTAAAGTTAAAACCTTCCTCTCCTTTTTAAACAGAAAAGGGGAAATGGTGTGGGAGGTTATTCTGTTCATGTGTTGCTTTCATTGGCTAATGAATAAAGAAACTGCTTTGGGCCTGATGAGGCAGAACTTAGGTAGGCAGAGAAGACATAACTGGATGCTGGGAAGAAGGACAGAGTGGGAGACACCATGGATCTTCTACCTGAGATGGACACTTGTTAGAATCTTGGCAGTAAGCCACAGTCACATGGCGATACACAGGTTAATAGAAATGGGTTAAATTAAGATGTAAGAATTAGCCAATAAGAAGTTAGAGCTAATGGCCAAGCATTGTTTTAATTAATCAGTTTCTGTGTGGTTATTTTTGGTATAAGTTAGCTGGACGACTGGGATAAAGACTCCCACTCTTTGTAATAATGTTACCAATCAATGAAACATTATACATATCAATGGGAACTTGAAAAGCAATGGGTAATTATGTAAGATAGTTTTTCTACTTCATAGTATGCTTTATACAAGAAGATGTCCTGGTTTAATAAAATCATTTGTTTGATGGCAAAATGTTATTCTTTATGCACTTTTGAGAAAGATCAACAATGTCTATATTAGTCCCCTAGGGCTTCCATAAATGAGGTGTGTAAATCTATGTTCAATAGAAAATCTAGATGGCAACACATTCTTTTCTCATGGAGAGCATACTTCTTCATAGACTCCAGCTTGACATGGCAAAAGGAAAAAAGTAACATCCTGGATCTTTCTTTTTCCAGTAAGGAAAATAACTGCTCATGGGTTCCACCTTCATGATTTAACTCTTGAAAGCCATGTTCCTAACACCTTCTTTGTAGGATTAGGGTTTCAATGTAGGGATCTGGGAAGCACATGCTTACCAGTTATTACAGGGCCTGCAAAATAATTATTACTGGGTAACTACCCTAGTGTAGGGCAATTTTGTTCTTTCTTTATGTTCTTCCTTCATTTCTAAATATTCTAGTACAGAAGGTTGAATAAAGGTCATTATAAAATCCAGCTTCATAAAAATCACTTAACATATTAATGATCTTTTATACAGTGCTGTGCAATTTTACACAATACTGTGCAACTAAGACTCACAAGTCCATAGTAGCATTGTATTATTCTTCCTTGTCTTCGAGACAGCTGGGAATAAGACAAGGAGCGTATGTGTGTTAGCTTATTCAGTTAGAAACTGATTTCCAACTATTTCTCAATTGTACATATGCATCGTCACTCATGGCTCTGAATTTTCAAGGTAGACATAAGGAATATTTTATCAAAGATTAAAAAAGAATAAGATTGATTTTAACTGATTTTTCAACTTCTTAGAACCACTCTAGCTCCTACAAAGTCCTAGAAAACCTTCTGGATTTTGTGGCTATCATATTTGAGATTATGAATTGTATCTTGAATAATTCAAGGAGCTAAAATATTCTTTCTTGGGACTTTCAAATTACATTTGAAAGCAAAGTGAATGTACAAAGCATGAATTAAGACATAGTCTCGGGTACTGTTTGTATTCTGATGCTCCATTCTCTTCACCCTGAAAACATTTCTTTTTTTTTTTTTTTTGAGGAGAAACTAAGCATTTTTATTTTCAGACTGTGCATTCAGATTCCATAGATAACCCATATCTTTCCATTTTTGCCAAGTTTTAGAAAACATTTAATGAAAGTATTGAAAGGTCAGAATAAGACCTTGATTTGCTAGTTCTGAACTCTTATTTTCCTGCCCTCTGTTTGCGGAAGAGCTTGGTCACGTAGGGCTTTACACATCCACTAATAGTGTTCTTCAGATTAGCAGCTGATGGTATTTACTGTCTGGCCTTCTATGATGCTATGAGGAGCGCAGCAGTGAGCTAGGAATCCTTCCTACAGTTAAAACATTCTTGTGACAAAGAATAGTTTCCCTGATTCTCAATTTTTTTTTTGTTTGAATGTTTGTGTTTTGAGACAAGGTTTCAAGGAGCCTGTTCTAGTCTCTACTTGATTTTAAGCTGAGGGTTGACATTGAAGTCTTGATCTTCCTGTCTCAGCCTCAGTAATTCGAGTGTGAAGGATGCAGCTATAAATACAGGGCAAGGGCCACATCCAGATGGTCCAGTATATTCATGTGAGAACTGAACCATTGAAGAACAGTCATAGGGGGTGACTATTAAAAGTAAAGAAAGAAAGGTTTTACTTTCAAGGTGCAATGACTTCGCAGGTTAAGATTTATTTGCTAAAGCACTGAACACTGTGTCTGGTCTCTTAAAGTCAACCATTCTTGTCAGATACGTAGCTTTCTAGATCCCAACATCAAGCTTCTTAAATTAAAGCTTTTATTCATGGTCCAGAAAGAATAAAATGTGAGTTTAAGTCAAACATGAAAAGTAGGCTTTGATATCATGAAACAAGGATTTCCCAAATCTCTCTTTGTAACGTTTCTTTATGGGAATCACATATATTTCATTTCTGGTGATTAGAATCCTGCTGAAAGTTTATGGAAGCCGAAGTCCTAAAAGGTGAAGAAAGGTGGGTAGAGAAACCAGCACTTTAAAGGTCTGCTCCACATCGCCGGACTTACTTTTCAGCAGCAGTTGGTTTGCAAGTCTATATGCCTCCAAAATAACAGGCTGAGGCCTACCTACTGGGATGGTTCAAATGTTTTCGAAATAGAATAATGTTTTCGTCTTGTGGTCAGTCAGCATAATCTAACTTTTAATCAAGAATGTTTTGAGTGTCAATGAAAAACAAAAACAAAAACAAAAAAAGAATCTGTGATTTGAAGTGATTAAAACAAATTATCTGAACAAGTTTTTATTTTTAAAATGTCGGTCATTTGGAGTTTCTTTGTGACAAACAAAGTTCTGGGGGAATTAAAACAGATTGCTGACAATTGTTTCATAGTCCAGCTCCTCATATAATGGATTACTTACATGTAATCAACTTTAACTGCAAAATATTTGTCAATATAAGAATGGGTTTTTTTTCTGCCTAGAACATATAGGGTTATGATTTAATTTATAAGTCATTAGAATGAATTTTACCTAATCTGGGCATAGCTGGAATCAGAATAACTGATTATTTGCCCAGGGTAATTCACAGGGGAAGCTTAGTCTGGCAGCACAGTCATGGCTCATTGGAGAGGAATTATTGAATTATCCTACAGCATTGCTCAAGATGCTATTTTGCACGAAGCAAAGAAGCTGTGAACAGTGAGTTTTTCTCTTGAGTTCTGAGGCTATGTAGATTCTTATGCCTAAGTTATCTCCTATGTATAAGACAAATAATAAAAATGTTCTTAACTATTAGTTAGCATAATTCTCCCAACATGCTGGGAAATATCAAAAAATTGGCCTTTCAAATATCTTTGGTAATACTTTACTTACATGCATGAAAATGTCATGATGAAACCTGTCCTTTTGCATAAATAATATGTTCTACAGAGAAATAAATTGCTTTAAAAATAAGACATTCTGATCATTAACATTGCATACACATACTATCTATGTATGTTCCTGAATGCTGCCTATTCATATAGTCTTCAAAACTGGTCTAGACCAGGAGCTCTTTGAGTGGCATCAGATTCCTTATAGATTTGTAACCAGATGAGAGGTCCTTTAAGGAGAAGCTGTAACAAATGTAAAGTGTTCTTCTCTAGTTTTAGATATTATTTGACTAAGCTTGCCATGGTTTTAAACAGCCTGGAGCCTTCCCAACAGTTGTCCCTGTGGTATCTGTTGAGACTGTAAACCATCAAATAGTTATGTTTGAAAAAGTACATAGATTCATTACATATATAAGTAACAAATGAGGAGCTATATTGCTTCTTTAAAATAAAATCTTATTAGCTTTTCTTTAGTTTAAGTAATCGTTTTGATCAAAAGACCATATCTTCATCTTTATCTTACTTTCATTAGAGAGAAGTAAACCTAATAACTAATCTTGAGTTGCTTCTAGAAGGCAAGTTCCCAGGAGGCTTGGACTTCTGTTATTTTTATTTTGTTTCTTTGATATTTTACCTCAAGTACCCAATTAGAGACACAGTAGGCACTCATTCAATACTAATTGATGGAATGAACCACCTAAATCTTTCCTGGTTTTCCTGATATCCACTCTCTGTTCCCCTCAGACCCACATTGTTTGAGCTGCTTTGAGAATTTGATGATTTAATGCTATGGGACAATGGTCTATATCCTGTCAATTATATTTCAAATAAACGCTGATTGGACAGTAGGCAGGCAGGAAGTATAGGCAGGGCAACCAGGCAGGAAGTAGAGACGGGGTAATGAGAACAGCAGAATTCTGGGAAGAGGACATAGTCTGTAATCTTGATCCCGCCATACAGGCAGCAAAATGTGACTACCTCGCCAAAAAAAATACAAAGCCACGTGGCTAACCTAGATAAGAATAATGGGCTAATATAAGTTATGAGTTAATAAGAAGTCTGAGCTACTAGGCCAATCAGTTTATAACTAATGTAGACCTCTATGTGATTTCTTTGGGACTTAACGATTACAGGAACAGAGCAGGACAGAAACCTGCTCTATTGTAACTCTGTTGCTAATTAGCTGACATGTGATGAATGCCTACTAAATCTATTGGGAATTTGACAGAATATAAATGTGTTTCTTTCTCAGATGCATTCATACTAAAAACCAACTCCATCACTTATCTTTAGAGGTTTAATAAAACCTACCAAATCATTTTCATAGGCTATCTGCTTACTGGATATTTCATAAAAATGCTGTGACTTCTCAGCTCTCTGTCAAGACTTTCGTGGAATGGAAAACTCACAACAATGGTTTATTCAGCACATAATGAATTATTTGTCTTCTGAACCTATTATGGAGCATTTCACAATGACTCTTCATGTACCTTTTTTTGAAGTGTGGGCAGTGAAGCCACAGACTACATGGTAAAATATAAACACGGGAATAGTCTCTATGAATAAGAGCAATGACCATTTCTATACTGGGCATATCATTTTAGATAACATTCAGGAGGCAGGCCTGTGGAACTCACTACTAATTCACAATTTAGGGTTTTTTGATAATATGATTTGTTCCTGAAAGCAAATTTATTAAAGACAGTAAAACAATAAAAATAATCAAAAGCAAAATTTGAAAATATCCTTTCTTCTTGGAGACAAGAACACAGTCACACTGTTAGCATTTATCTGATTGTGGGAAGGGAGTGGATTTCAATGATCCTAGCATAGATTTAAAGCTGTGGGAAGTTAATTCCTGAGACAGGGCATCTGAGGATTCTCTTCTCATACAAAAGTTTAGCCTATTTTATGGAATTATGGTAGTTCATTAATGTCTCCAGGTTGCCAGTTCATTGCATCAATCCATTAGCTCATGAAATTTTTTGGAGTTTATAGAACTTTCAGATAATTTCACCGAGAAAAATGCTTCAATTAAATCCTACTCATACATTTAATCCAGCCAGAACTGGTCAGTATTGACTGTGGAATGAAAGGTGTGTTGTTCATCATACAAAATACAGCTTACCAATTGCACCCAGCAGTTCCTGGAAGTAGCCATCATAAAAGTATTTGACAGCATCCACCAGGTTTTGGCCAGAAATATTTTAAAATTCCTGGAAAAAAATGCAAAAAAATTATGTAACTCAAAAGAGATTTTCATAAATATCATAAACTTAAAGGATAAACTATGGCTATTTTACTATACATTTAATGGTGATTGTTTTCTCTGAAGCATTTCTTAGCGCTGCTACCCACTGTGATGAAGGATCTACTCTCTGCAATAAGTATAGATCTTATGAGATGCTAAAACTTGCATGAACCCTGTACTCTAAGGACCTGCTATTGCTGAGCTGGGGAACAATGGTTACCCCCACTGGAACTCAATGACTAGAAAGTACTGATTTAGAAGGAGTGAAGACACAGAGTGAGCTCTTGTCTATGATGCATTTTCATAAGACATATATAATCGACAGTCTAAATTCATTTGTCAACAGAAAACTTTCTGTTAGAGCTAAATACAAAAATCCTCTGAGTGATGTTTAGGAATCGAGTGTGGAAAAGTGATTTTGAGGAACAGAAGATTACCATTCACAGATTCATTTACTAACATAAAATAGCATTCAAATAAATTACCTTTTTTAAAGAGTTCACTCATTTGGCTCTATCCTTGGCAATATTCAGTTCTCAGCCATTTCAACTTAAATGTGAAGAAGTATTGTTATTGTTAGTGTTAATCTTTAACTCACATAAAGTAAAAGAAGCATAGTTGGATTAGAGTAGGCTGTTGCTAAAAATTGAAAGGACTTTACTTTTCATTTAATTGCATTTAATTTGCTTTAAAATAATGGAAAGGAAAGGCACAGAGTTTGGAGAATGTCAAATGGAGGTTAATGTGACCACATCTCAAAGATCAGTAGGTAGTATGGCTATTTCATAAATCACAATGTCTTTAACAAAGACCTTGACTCGGGTTGGCCACAGTAAACTCACTGGAGATTATTCAAATACAATATAAAGTACCTGTAATTTTTAGGAGTCTGTATGTAAAAGCTCTAAGATTTAGTTAATGGAGAAAATTTAGTGGCAGAGTTTTACTCTTTAGCAGTACCATTAAATGAGGCATACTGTATAGACATGGCTTTTTTCTATTGCTGAGTGACATTCCCTCTTTTATCCTAATTACTTTTATGTCATTCAACTGGTTAAAGAGCTGTAGAGAGCCTGTTTCTAGTTACCCAGCCAGAGCTGTGGGGAGCTCTTGTTGCACAGGATCATCTGCATCGTGGTTTTATGCTCTCCAGTCTTCTGCTGGCAAGCTTCCCACAGGACCTGCAACATCACACAGTTAGGAAGGAGTCAGAACCAGCCTCATTCACTCTACCAATAGCTCTATTAGTCAGGGGGGCAGTCAGACTTAGTTACCATTGCATCCTGAGCAGCCATCCTGGATCTGCATATCCTTCCCCTCTTGTTCCCTGGGAAATAAGCAAGGGTTTCCCTTTAGGTGGTCTCAATATACAGAATATCTAGTGAAGCATTTATCTAATTATTCTAAATTAGTAATAATTTAAATAGTAATAAAAAATTGGGAGTCAGATTTGTGGTAAGAAGCTGAATGATCAGAGAAGTGAGAGAGAAATCACCAGGGACCTACTATTTTTTCAGCTCTTCAATCCAAAAGGTCCAAGACCCTCTCTAAGCCCCACCCAACTACTTCCTGTCTTTCTATCTGTCCTCCGTCTTCTAAAACCTCCATAATCAATTTTGGACAGCTAGCTCTACCCTTGATTAAAAAAAAAAAAACTTCATTGTCAGTCTTCAGAACACCAGAATGTAATCAAAATGTCAGACAAGAATATAGGACTATTGGGGTAAAATTCCCAGAACCTGCAAACAATGGTGACTCCTTTACAGTCTTGGTTAGTGATTTGAATACTTCAACATGTGAAAAATTGGGGTGTAGTTTTGTAAGTTTGTTTTTTGCTTTTCTTTATAACAGAGGAACTTTGTGACAAATGTTGAAATAATTTTTGCTTTTTCTATCTCTATGAGATATTTTACATTATCATATGAGTATCTATCTTTTGGCAGAGGAGGCAGTGATGGAGTTTAACAGTATTTATGCAATGGTGCAGACATAGTTGTATCTGGATTGTAAAACAGGATTTATGGCAACAAACAAACAGTGATGAAGGCTTTGCAAATGAGACAGTTCTCAATGTCAATTTCATGGGACTCAAATCAAGGTGCCATCAGGAGTTGTTTCTAGAAGATCTAGAAAGGCCACTTTTTTTTTTTTTGTATAGTATCCTTTCAGATAAGATTTGCCCACTGGTATAATAATAGTGATGGACTGTTTTGGACATGACCAACAACCACTTTCTGATTTTAGGATTTTAGGTCTATTCTACAGGAAGAATTCATGCCTAGCAATGTAAACTTAGTCTAAAACCCATGAACGGGGAAGCTGCAGGCTCTAAAAGCGGATTTACTATTGTTGTTTTGTTATATGGATATGACGTTAAATTTCCTTCTAAGTATGTGTATGTATATTCATAGATTTGTGCTGCTCCCAGCTTTGGTCAGAGAAGCTTTTGTTTGCGATGGGTGATGGTTAATGCAGAAGCTAACTAGTGAGTCAGTGACAGCTGAAATGAGACATCTGTGTCTTTGCCTCCAAGGCTCTAGGTATATTATGGAAGAAGGTATGGAAAGAATTTAGGAGTTCAAATGGAAAAAGCGTGACACAACTTATTCTGTTTATTACATGGCCGTTATGCCTGTGAACTCAGAGTATCAGTGACTACTACGCAAGGCAGGCCCGTCAATGTCCCATCATGGGCGAGAGAGAGGCTCATGAGGTCTCCCCTCTCCCCGAGGACCAGCAAGAAGTCAATGTTTGCTAGGGGCGTCATGTTCCTCAGTGGTAGCCACAGATAATTTGCCCTTGCTCCAGTAAATAACCATGCTTATGCCAACCATCCTAATTAAATGTCATGGGTCAGGAACAATAACAACAAAAAGACGTGAAAACAGGACGTGAACTTAGATGGAAGAAGGGGTTTAGTGGGAGGAAAAGGAGTTAAGAGGATAATATGATCAAACTAAGTTACATATATATTTAATGAATTTATAAAATATTAAATTAAAAATCAATAATAGTAAAAAGGAAAGAATTGACTCTGGTTGTCCCAGCAACTCAGGTGTGTATCTCCTCTGTTCTGAACGAAAGGATTTTGTCTTCCATAAACTCAATTAAAAGAGACAAATAATAGCAATGAAAAACAGAAATGTAAGATCTATCCAATATGCCCACAATGGATAGATGGTTGGTAAAAAAATCCAGTGAGCGTCTAAATCCATTTTCAGGATTCTGATGTGATTGACAGTGAGTGTCCAATCTACCTTTGAGTCTTGATGCGATGATAAGGTTTAAATAGAAGGCCACAGAAAATACTTAACCAATCAATTTAGCCCTGGTACGAGTCTCTGGCCCTTCTCACCTTTCTCCTGGAAGCTACCTCTTCTGCGAGGTCTTATCTTATAGGTTACAAACCTTTGTAAATCTCAGGGGCAATTCTAATTTCTTGACATTTCTTGTTTCAATAGTCACAATTCATCATCTATCATGTAAACAAAAGGTATCTCCTATCTCCTAAACAAAGAGATTCCTCTTCCACTGCTGAGAGATTTGGACATATGTAAAAGGCTACTCCTTGAATGACATTTTGCAGATAAAGGGATCCCTCCTTTCTGCTGCGGGAGGGCGAATTGTGAAATATCCCCAGCCTGTTCCCTGTGGGATGTGATTGCAGCCTTTGGACTGGCTTGTTTTTCTCTACCAAAAGCTTTTCTGAGGTGCTAGCTCACTCTTGGTCAGCTGGCAATGTTCATTAAGCACGGTGATTTGCCACCTTCTCTAGTGGATTCCTTCAATTTGATTCTTTGGCTTGTGATTGATCCATCATCTCCACAGACTGTAGCTGAATGACTCCATTTGTAATCAAATTACCAGCCTGAATTATTGCCTCCATCATGGCAATACTCTGGTATGATTTCTTTGGTCCACCTGGAATAATCCCCTTTTCTCACAATCTTTACTTAGTTTAGTCTAGTCTGTAGCATCTGTTACCACAGTTACCACAATCCCAGGGAATTAGGACACTGGCCTCTCCTGGAGGAAGCAGGAAAGGGCAGTATTCAACTTGTCAATATTATTAAAGAGTGAGTAAGATTCTAGAATCATTTGGAAAAGGTCAGATATTAATTCCAAGTCCACTGGTTTTATTTTCTCAGTATTACCATGAATGACCTTCCATAATTTCCAAACAAACAAATAACATAAGCACAGGAAATGCTCAATGGACCTAGGAAATGTCCCTGTCTTTATCATTCCTGCCTTTTTATTAAAAAGCTTAACTTTTATCATTTGCTGGGGAACCAGGTTTCCCTTCCAGGATTCCCTTCTGTGGAGTTTTAGTCTTATTAATTAAAGAAATCTTAAAAATACACCAAAAAGGAAGCTCCAGGAAGATTTTATTAGAATTTGAGAAAGAAACAACAGGATATGTGAGCTGTACACACTAGCCACTGCTGGAAGGGAGATGACAAAGGAAAGGCAAGCCCCTCTTCTGAGTCAGGTTCCAAGTCTTCAGCAGCTGCTTGGGTAAGGAGCTCTTCGAAGAGTCTGTAAGAAAGCCCAGAGTTCGAAAGCCAGAATGCTTAATATCCAAGTAGATAGGAAGGCCAAAAGAAAAAGCCAATATCCCTTGAATTAGAACTCAGAAAAGCAGACCCTTAGAAGCAAAGGTCTGTGAAGAGCTGCAAGTGCATGGGGCGGCTTTGCTATACAGTATCTAATGGAGGAGGAATTATCCCTCCCACCTTCCTAGAATGTCCTTAGGTGAGGCAGTTTAATTGAGAGGTGGTCTTCTAGCCAGGTGGGAGACATATGCACTTGTATTAACTCTTGAGAAGGAGATAATAATACGCAATTTTCCAACTTTGGGGGCATATCAAAACCTCATGTCTCCACCCAGGGTCAGATCACATTTTCTCAAACAGCTCCTATCCTTCTGTGAATTGGCCCAATACCCTGCCTTTTCATGTGGTTTTTTAATGCAAAGGAGGACCAGAGCTGATGCTTCCCTTTCTGTTGTTACCAAGGAAACAGGAGGTAGGTGGAAAGCTGACCATGAGGGAGGGGGCCCATGCTTAATAGCCTTCAAAGTGGTGAATGTTTATTGTTACCGAGCATATTTATGACTGGGAAATTTATTGTTTACTGTAACCCGTTGCTCTTTCCCCATGGGAAGATTTCTGCCACTCCCTTACTGGGTAATGAGCACAGCTTCCAGTCCCAGATCAAGAGCACCCAAATGCAAGGCTTCCCCACTTTCTAGAGAATTTACTTATTTAGGCCTTCCTAAAGTTACTGGGGATACTAAGCTAGAGAGGTAGCCAACGCAAATGCAAGAATTTACAGGTTTAGAGAGAGAGAGAGAGAGAGAGAGAGAGAGAGAGAGAGAGAGAGAGAGAGAGAGCAAGAGAGGGAGGGGAGGGAGGGGGAGGGAGGGAAGGAGAAAAGAACTGAGGGACAGGAGGGAAGAAAAGAAATAAAGGTAGAAATAAAAGCAAGAAGTAATTCCAATTTCAGTTTGTTTAGTGGTGTTTATTGGTCAAAGAAGATCCCACATAGATTAATCACAGACTTCAGTAAGAAATTCAAGTATTCTCAAGTTTCTTGCTGCCCCCACTTTAATGTCTTTAGCATACCTGTGGGAGCAGAGGAAAGCAGAACACGCAGGTGTTCTGCTTCTTTGGCCTCTCCACTGTTGCCTAGAAGTCCTCAGATTTCTCTGTCAGGGTTCCCTCCACAGTTACCTCAAGAATCCCAAAGCCTCAGTCTCCCCCCCCCCTCCCCCGTCTGACAGTTCTGACTTTATAGAAGGATGCTAAAAGCTACATTTCCCAAGTCCTCTTCTCCAATTGGATTGGTGATGAGTGAAAAACGAAACTTAAGGCTTCTGGGCGCAGAATGGAAACTGAAACTGAAACTATTCTTCAGGCAGCCTGGGTGGCTCAGAAGCTTCCGAGGAGCTTCCGTCTCTGGATTCCGTGCTCTGAGTTCCTGCAGAGCAGTCCTGCCGCTCTCAGCAGGCAGCAGGTCCTGGTTCTGGGTTTGGGGGTCTGGGTTTGGGGAGGGAGGAGAGCGGCGGGGTAGGGGATGCTTCTGGGCGCTCCAGGGGCTGGCAGCCCTCGCCAAGGTCAGAGGTGTCTAGAAGGAGGGGCTTCGTGCTGTGATGCTGAGGGGGACAGGACTAGGACCCGCCTACCCCAGAAGCCAGAGCCCAGTGGACAGCCAAGGAAGGGATGTCCATGATGAGGGAGGAGGGAGGTCGAAGACGTGGGGCTCAGAGTCTTGAACTCTCGTCGTCATAATGGGGATCTCGGGGAGGAATCAATAAGTAGGAACATCTGATGGGTGCACAGTCAGTAGAAGTCGGGCACTGGCATCAGCGGTCTTTCTCCTGGGTGCAGAATCGGGAGCCCTACTCCAGACTTGCCTAGCTGGAAGCTGAATGGGAACAAGAACCCAGATGAATTCTAGGCCCTCTTAAATTTCAGTAGTTAAAACAATTTATGCTTTACTGCAATAATCTCCCATCCTCTAGCATGCTTCCTTTTTAAAGGCTATCTTCCTGTGCAGCCTGGCACTTAGGAGTCCAGCCCTCCTGCCTCAGTTTCCCTGTTCTATTCACCTAAGATTTAACGTGCTCATGTGCAAGGAACAGGTATTAGTTTTCTGTTTCCGCATAACTAACTAGCACACTCTCGATGGCTTTAAACAAAACGAATGTATTAGTTTACCGATCCTGGGCAGGCTCGGGCCAACATGTAGAAGAAGAAAATAGATCTATATCCATCTTCATGAACAAAATTTAAGCCCAAATGAGCCAAAGGCTTCAGCATATAAAAATTTATGTTGAACCTCACAGAGAAAAAATTTTTTGAAGTATACTTTGCCACATCGTAAACACAGTCTCAGTGGCACAAACATTGTGAGAAACCATAAATTAGATCTCCTGAATTGAGAACCTTTTGTATAACAAGGCTATAGAGTGGGAAAAGATCTTTATTTATCATAAATCCATTTCAAAAATATATGAAGAACTCAGGAAATTAGTCATTAAAAATTTAATCCAATAAAAATATTTGTTATAGACCTAAACTGAAAAACTCTCAACAAAAGAACCCAAAAATGACTGAGAGACACCTAGAAAATGTTTGAATATAATCTCCTTTAACTGTCAGAGAAATGTAAATCAAAACTTTTTTTGAGATTTTACCTTATCCTTGTAAAAATAACCAAGATTAAAAATTATTGTTAACAACCTATGCTTAAGAAAGTGGGTAGGGAAAAAACTTGATTGCTGGAAGTGAGCTGCAGTCTGTGGCGGCAGCGGCTGCGCTGGGAGGGTGACCGGTGTTGGAAGTGCAAACTGATTGGCACAGTCATTTTTGGATCACATACAGCATTGAAAAACCTGGACAAATCCAGACCCTCCCAGCAGGAAGAGAAAAATTAAAAATCCAGGACACCAGACCTCCTTCCAGATGGTTGTGATCCACCATGTGGTTGCCAGGAATTGAACCCAGGGCCTTTGGAAGAACAGGCAATGCTTTTAACCTCTGAGCCATCTCTCCAGCTCCCCCAATAGGAAGAGGAGAATCAAAAATCTAGGGCTAGCCTGTTCAGCAACCCTGCACCAAGAACTGACTGAAGACAAAGCCAAACTGCAATCCTGAAAAACTAGTTTTCCAGCTGCAATTTCCACAGTACTGTTTTAGGAACTAGCTGATTATGACCCTGGGAGTGGTCCCGAGAGGCAGGGAGACGCGCCCCTGTGACCATCACTGGGTTTTTGAAATTTTTTATGACCTTTCTGGACCACTGGGCTGTGGTCTCTTTTTAAAAATTCTTTTTCCCGGTCACTCGGGGTCGAACTCCTCCCCCACCAACCAAGGCCATGTACGCGACCTCAGCAAGGATGGTCTTTGGGGAGCCATGAGGGGGCCGCGCCATCCCGAGACCTGAGTGAGAGTCTCCCCAGCATTGAGGGACCTCCATTATGTAAAATTAGGCAAATATCTACCTCAAAACTTAGCAGTACCCCTTTTGGGCCGAAATATAAAGTTGTTTAACCATACCACAAGGACACGTGCTCAGCCTTGCCCATAGCAGAACTACTTTATCATAGCTAGAATCTGAAAATAACCCGGGTGTACCTCTTTTACACCTAGGATAAATGAGACATCATCCTTTTAAAATATCCATGAATACCACAAAATATCTTGGAATAACCTTAAGCAAGCAGGACAGAGTTTTTGGGTCCCGTCATCTCTGCCTGTGAAGGTGGAAATGTTTTTTTTATTTTTAACCATTATCACTTGTTTAGAGTATAACTCTGGCCCTTGATAAATTTAGTGAGAGACCTGAGTTTTAGCAATCTAGCCTGAACACCTGGCAGCAGGAAAGACCCTCAAGCTGAAACATTACGATTCCCACCCAAGAACGGGCCGTACAAACGAAAAACTTGTTGGATAAGAACTTTAAATCTTGAAAGATCCCCTACTTTCTTGCGAAAGCAGAAGAAACACAGCAAAAATGACAATTTCATTGAAAGCAGTCTACGGATTCAGTGTAAATGTCCATTAAAAATTATAGCAACATTTCTCACAGAACTCACATACAGACTTTAATGTAAATGATCATTAAAATTATAGCAAAACTTTTTACAGAACTCAAAATAACAATATAGAACTCAAAAGAACAATCCTCAACCTTATACGAAAGAAATAAAAACTCAGGATAGCCTAAACAATTATAAAAATCCTCTGAATGCATCACAATCTTTGAAATTAAAACTTTTTCTACAGAAACACAGTACTGAACTTAATCTACCTTAGATATAAACTTTTACACCTACAAACTAAAGATTTTTGACCAAGAAGCAAGATTTTTAAAATGGAAAAGAAGCATATTTACTGTCCTAAATGCAGCTGCAGCTTTTTGAGTCTAGACTCCTTTATAACAAACCTGCCTGTCAGCTTTCGCTCCATGTGGCAGGCTCTCTAGCCCTAGCAGCCAGCCTGCTTGGCAGGCATAGCTGTGTGGATTGTACCCTAACTTCTCTCATCTCGAGGGACTCCCTTTTGAGTCCGCAAGCAAACATATAAAGCAAACACATAAATCTCTGTTTTTGACTCTTACTCCTCTGTCCCTGAGTGAATGCTTAAATTCCTGTATGAATTTCTCTTCCTTTGAAAGTGATTGTCTCACCCCTTGTGGGACGACGTGAACCTGCGCCTACCTCCCGTCCTGCCATCTGTCCAAGTACTACAGCTGCAGAACCTTCTTTTTTCTTCTTGTTGTCCCGGGACTGCGCGTGTCGTCCGATAGCTGACCGTACTCCCAGTCACTGGTTCGGGCGCCACTGTGGATTGCGTTTGGGTGGGCTACTCAGTCTAGGGGTTTGTAACCCACCCTGCAATCAAGTTACTCCAGGGTCACGGAGGGGCGCTACCTGGAAGGGAATGAGCTAAGACAGAAGAAGGACGCCAAGCAGATTTGTCAAAGCCTCTGTTTTATTAGGGACAGGTTACAGTTTATGTATGGTAAGGAATGGGGGGCAGGGCACAGGATCTCGCCGCATGGTTCCGGTCACGTAGGCTAGGTTACATTCGGATGGGTAGGCCAGAAGTCACAAGTTGCCACACCTGGTTCCCTGGATAGCTGGAATGTGAGGCGGGTTCCGCTAATTGGGTGAGGGGCAGGTTTTCTCAATAGAACATAATTATGGGTGTGGGGTTCTCTGCAGACTCCCCAGGGTGATTCCTGTAATGATTCTTAGGGGGGAAATGGCTCCTGACATTAGCTCTCTAGTGGAGGTGTAGAAAACATTTTTTTTCATTCTGTAGGCTTCCTCTTTGTTTTAATGGTGGTGTACTTTGCCCTACAAAAACCCTTCAGTTTCATGAGGTTCCATTTATTAATTGTTCTTAATTTCTGTGTTATCAGTATTCTGTTCAGAAAGTCTTCCTGTGCCAATGAGTTTAAGACTATTCCCCTTGTTCTCTTCTATAAGATTCAGTTTATCTAACCTCATGTTGAGATCTTTGATCCATTTGGAGTTGGGTTTTGTGTGGGGTAAATACCTACGGAACTATTTGGATTCTTCAACATGCAGCCATACAAACTGACCAGCATCATTTGTTGAAGATATGTGCTTATTTGTTTTTGTTTTGATTTCAGTCCTGACTTTGATGCCGTTCTGTGTCTTTTTATTGGAAAATTGAGAACACTGATTTTGAGAATTATCAATGACTTATATTTGTTGATTCCAGTTACATTGTTGTTGTGGTGTGGGTTTTATTTTTATATTTTCTGCTTCTTTTGATCTGATATAATTTATTCCTTATACGTTCTTGAATGTGTTTAGTCTTTTTAGGTTGAAATTTTCTTTCTAGACCCTTTTTAGGACTGAATTTGTAGATAGATATTGTTAAAATTTGGTTTTACCTTGGAATGTCTTTCTTTTTTCATGCACTGTGACTGATTGTTTTGCTGAGTGAATTCTAAACTGGCATCTGTGGTCTCTTAGAGTTTGTAGACCACCTTTCCAGGCCCCTCTCACTTGAAGAGTCTTCATTGAGAAGTTAGGCATTGCTCTAATAGGTCTGTCTTTATTTATTATTTGGTCTTTTTCTTTTTCAACTTTTAATTTTCTATTTTAGTTCTGTATGCTTAATGTTTTGATCTTGTAACATGGGAAATTTCTTTCTTGGTTCAGTCTATTTGGTGTTCTGTAAGCTTCTTTTACCTTGATAGGGACTTCATTCTTTAGGTTGGGGAAATTTTCTTCTATGATTTTGTTGTTAGTATTGTTTGTACCGTTGACCTGGATTTCCACTCCTTCCTCTATTCCTATTGTTCCTGAATTTTGAGTTTTTGTAGTATTCAGATTCCTGGATATTTTATGCCTAGATTCTTCTAAATTTAGCATTTTCTTTGACCAAGTATCCATTTCTTCTGTCTTGTCTTCAAAGACAAATTCTTTTCCATCTCTTGCATTTTGTCAGTGAAGCTTGTCTCGGAGGTTCCTCTTTGAGTTCCTAAATCTCTTAGTTCCAGTTTTTCCTCAGTTTGCGTTTCCTTATTGATTCTATTTCTACTTGCATGTCTTGATCTGTTTTCTCCATTTCCTTTTACTGTCTATGTGTTCATAGATTTCTTTAATCAATTGACTCATTTCCTCTTAAAGGACCTCTAACATATTCATAAGGCCTATTTTTAAGTCCTTGACTTGTGTTTCTGCTATATGGCATTTCTCAGGGCCTACTGTAGTAGGGTTGCTAGACTCTAGTAGAGACATATTGTCCTGGCTGTTATTGATTGTGCGTTTACACTGGCTTCTAGGCTAGTTTTGGGTGACTGTAATTCTAAGTACTGATATGTGGTCTTGTATTTTTTGGGTGGTTGTTCCATTCCTTGCATCCTGTCACCCTCTCAAGGTGGAGGCTGTGTGTTGCCTGATAAGAAATGCTACTGAGATCCTGCCTGATGTTGCCACTGGAGGTTCAAGCTAGAATGAGTTTCTTGGTTTTGTGAGCTGACACTTAGGGATGAAAATGGGCTGGGGAATTGGCTAGTGGAGTCCACAGGAGGAAGGAAAGGAGGGTATGCCACACAGATCTGCTCAGTGCTCTGGGAATGGGGGCAGGAAGGCAACATCTTGCAGTCTGCTACAGAGCTGGGGATGAAACTAGGGAATTAGATTTGGAGCAAAAGGATGAAAGTGAAAATCTGAAGATCTGAAGATTTCATAGCTGCTTCCCTTTCCAGCATAGCTGTATATAGTATTTTTTAAAATCAATATCCTGATGCTACATGTCATGGCCCAACAGTGAGCTTCCTGCCCATCTTGTACTTATACTGGATACCCATTTACTTTCTTTTTGTTGGCCTAGAGAAGAGTTTGCTATTTCCTCCAGGTCTTTAGAAGAACTACAGGGTTAACATAAAAGAATTTTTGGTTCTCCGTGTATCTTTATCCCTTCTCACTTGTAAAAGGTCATCAGAACCTTTGCTCTTTGGCCTGTTCTTGCAGGATTGCAACATCCTACAGCTCTCAGAGTCATGTGAGAGCCAGGCTAATAAAATGTTTAAGACTCTTAAAACCCAGAAGCTCTTCATAGGGACAGCAACAGCCGTGGAGTGCTGCTGACTGTGGGTTATTCTTAATTTGTTGCATTATGTTCTAAGTGAGATTTAGATTCTCTTCTTCCTCAATACGTTTTATAAATTTGCTTGTTATGCTGCTCTTTCTCATGAGATCGTAAAATAAAAAGAGTAAGTAATTAGGAGAGAAAAGGATGGAATAGGAAGAGGGTGCACTTTTCACTAAAAAGATAGCTAAAAATAAAAGAGGATTTCTTTAAAAATAAAGAAGAATTTCGTCACAGAGGAAAATACCATTTTGCCCTTAGGTAAAGACTAGAGTATCCCAAGATGGAAGAGGAGAGCTGAGGGCAATATCAGGAGGTTCTCTTGACTTCACAGGAGAACCAACAAAGTTGTAAAGACTTTGTGGAACATGGAATTCCTAAAGTCAAATTTTGGTTTATTTTTATAAAACTTGAAACCTGTCCTCTATTAAAAATTAGGTTAAGTTATTGATCTTCTCTGCCAAGAAGACATTTAAAAAATCAGATTTTATGGTTAATCGAGATGATCATGTTTTTGTTGTCAGACATTTTAGGAAAGTGACATTAAGAAGTTAAGTTTATTTAAGTATCTGTTTTTAAAATCTTTTAAATGGGGCCAATGAAGTGACTCAACAGATAAGAGCACTACCAAGTGTGAGAATCTGAGCTCCATCTCAGGATCCACTTGGTGGGAGGTGATAGCTGACTCCAGACATTGTCCTCTGACTTCCACATTCGTCTGTAGACATATGTGCACATGCTCAAAACAAAGAACTAAAACTCAATAAAAATTAAAAAAATCTTTTAAATGCAACTTTATAGACAACTATTTTAATTTGATTCTAGCAACCCCAATTATATTGCTTTGTCAGTTACTAAGCTTCCTGCACAACTCTAATAAGTGGTCTAAGTCTTTTGTCATTCACAATTTTGGTCATTACCACAAATAAATAAATAATAACTGCAGATAAAAAAATACAAATAAGCAAATATAACTCTAATAAGTATTTCTTTTCCAAATTACTTTTTATAAAATGCTTCACCTTATTGGTTTATTTTGTATTCTTCTTTTCAATATTTGTAATTGCTGTCTGTTGGCTTTGCACAGAATCTGTCCCTGTGAGAAGAACCTTGGAAGATGCTAGGTACCCACAGGATAGCCAGAATTAAATATGGAAGTACAGTCCTGGTGGATAGGCAGAGCCATCTACATTTTTTTTGTTGTTAAAATTTGAAAAAATAAAAGGGGTTTGGTTGTTGTTTACTTCTCAATATTCGTCATAATTCCCCTTTCCCCCAAAATGTTATTAGGTCAGACAAATCAGGTGATGTCATCACAGTATCAGGGACAGTGGGAATGAAATTATTGGATGGTCAATCAGCAATGTCTTTAGGGAAAATTGTCCAGAGACAAGAACAGGGGTACAGGGGTTGTCAGAATAGAAATTTTTAACCACTTTGAAACTGGTAGGAGAAGAGTAACAAGGTTTCCCAGGAATTGTTAACAATTCTTTTCATAAGGCCACAAGTCAAGATAGTTTGTAATATTTTTTCTGGAGCAAAAAAAAAAAAAAGAGAGAGTTTTTTTTTTTTTTCAATATCTTTTAAACTTTTGTCCCCTGGATTCTAGTTCTTAATGTCATCAGGGAAGTTTTTCTGCTATATGGGAAGCCTTCTCACTGTTATTGCTTTTGGGTATGACTGGATGCCGGGGTCATTGCTCACAGTGGAGGATGAAGGGCACGTGGGGATGGATGCCGGGGTCGTTGCTCACAGTGGAATGAAGGGCGAGTGTGGATGGATACCCACACTTTCTCCTTCCTGCATGCACTTTTGAATTCAATATCCTTCCCCCCTCCCTTCTCCAAAAACCCCCATGCTCCCAATTTTGTCAGGCGATCTTGTCTGTTTCCACTTTCCAGAGGGATGTATATGTTTTTCTTAGGGTTCACCTTATAACTTAGCCTCTCGAGGATCATGAACTATAGGCTCAATATCCTTTTTTTATAGCCAGCATCCACTTATGAGTGAGTATATACCATATCCATATTCATCTTTTTGGGCCTGGGTTACCCCACTGAGGATCCTGCCTCTCTTAATGAAGCCTAACTTTCATATTCAACTTTTATGTTAATTAGTTTTTATGGTAACAGACAACATGAGTGTAATATCCATATTAACACCTGGAGATACAGTAGGCTCATTTTACTGTTTGGTATTTTCTATTTATGGTATTGAGGATTGAAGCCAAGGTATCACACATGATAGTAAGTGCTCTGTTCTTAACCAAGCTACATCCTTAATCTTAAAATTATTTTATTGAAAACTAGGATCTTGCTGCTTTACTTCTGATTATTTGAGCAATTAGTGTGTGTGTGTGTGTGTGTGTGTGTGATTTTATGTATGATGCATGTTTTTGCATGAGTGTATCTATGTGCCTCTTCACATTCATTTGGATGACCAAGGAGGCTATCAAGTGTTTTCTGCTACTGCTATTTAGGCAGTCACCCCATCCTTTGCCATATAGAACAGACCACAGAATCTCCAAATCCATCATGCAGTACCATATTCCTTTGTCTTAAGGAGCATGATGCTGACTTTTCTCCCTGGGCTGCCATGCCTTATCTTCTCCAGCAGGTTTCAGTAGTTCATTTTCTTCACACCCCACTCTTGTACCTCTGAGTAAAAGGGTCTGATATTGCCTTACGAAAGAGCTCTTTGGTTCCCTGTGCCTGTACTGTTAACACATTCAATACACCACGCCATCATGGTTGAATTAGTTTCCTCTGGATCTGGTTGCCATCATTGCTTTGCCCAGCCACATCTTTCTCTCTCTCTGTTGTCACTCTGATGTACAGTGCTGGAGTAATCGTTCCAAGATGCAAAGCCATCATATCTCCTTAAAATCCTTAGTGACTCACTATGCCACATGCTTGAGAAACCGGAATGCTTTTCACACCCTCTCTCAACATCAAACACCATCTCCCACTCTCCACTCCAGCCTCCTGGTTCCTGAGGGAACCTGGTTCCACCTCCATCTCTTCATCCCACACAGGCCATTGCGTGTTACGTGAGATGAAGTGCTGCTCGTCTCTGTCTGGACGCTCACCTTCCTCCATTCTGTTTAATCCTTTAGAACTTTTCTTGTGCATTGCTTCTTTATGGAATGTTTTATTATTTTGACTTGGTCACATTAATGATTTTCTATTGTGTATGCGATTATATGATTAACGGTTGTCCTCTTGACTTTTATTCCCTGAGAACAGATCACATGCAGATTGTACTCATTCTTGCGTCCCTGCTACTCAGTGTTTTGTTGGAAAGATAGTCATTCAGCACATTTCTGCTAACAGGAAAGTTGATTACTTTTTTTTTTCTTTCTTTGCAGATTTTCCATCTCATTTTAGAGGAGACAGAGTAAAGGATATTTCATGATAAATATTTCTTAATTCAGGTTGGAGACAGAGAGCAGCAAGAATGGGTAATTTTAAATTCAAAATATTATTTATAACATTATAACATCCATGCTTCACAGATTAAACAGTTAAAATGGCTACATTACTGTTTCTTATTTCTCAAATAATAACTGTGAGCTCCCTTAAAAAGACTGACTAAAAATTCCCTCTTATTTCCATTTTTAGAAGAACATTACACAGGAATTTTAGAGGAAATGTCAAAATTAATCTTGGAAAATATGCCAAAGGCTGAGTAAGTATTTTTGTGGTGATCAAGAGTTTTGAAATCATGTGTAATATTCCCCCTTTCTCTAGAGATATTTGACTTTATATGGTAATATTGATGTGTACCTACATCTGTGTGTGTGTGTGTGTGAGAGAGAGAGAGACAGAGAGAGACAGAGAGACAGAGAGAGAATGTACATTACATACATGATAGAAGTATATGTAATTACATGCAAATATGTATTCAGCCCTTTAGGTTGTTAATGTCAATGAGATAATAACAACTGTACTGTTTGGGGGTATTATGTCATCCATATGAGCTTTGTTCCAACACTATTCTTTTTTTAGCTATTCCAGTTTATTCAATGATTTTGTTGAATCTGAGTTTTTTCTGATTGACGGAGACTCCTTGCTTGTCATGTGTGTATGTGAGAAGTCGCTAGAGCCGGGGCAGAGTCTCCACTTCTTCTACCTGGTTGAGCGCTACCTGCTGGATGTCATTAGCAAAGGAGGACATTTTGCCATAGTATTCTTCAAGGTAACACAGACCACCTGAGCTTTTTATCCTCTGAAGACTGAAAACAGAGTTCGTTTGTATGATTAGCTAGAGACAAGGAATTTTGTCGCTGAAGCTGGCCTTGAACTTATGATGCCCTTGCTTCTGCTTCCCAAATAAAAGGATTTCAGGTGTGCATCACCACACCTTGTTATAAATCAATTTTTTTATAAAATTATATAAACATTTTCACCACTGACTGCTGAGCAAAATACATTTTTAAAAGTTCAGAAAATGAGATGGAGCCCAAGGCAAGGAGGTTCAAAGTTGGAAGCTACCCGAGCCTCACTTAGTGACTTGATGAGTAGTTTAGCCAACCTGGAAAGACCTTAAAGGAAAAAAAAAAATCTAGAAATGCAATTTAGTGATAGAAGACTTGCCTAGTGTGTGCAAGGTTGTGGGCTCGACCTCCAGAACAAAATATAAACAAAACAAATAAAAATCAGGGTCCCTGCCCTGTGGGAAATCCAAGAACCACCCACCTCCATCCAGGTCTAGTAAGGTGAGCATCCAAACTGCCTAGGCTCCCACAAAGCCAGTTCGTGCAGTAGGATCAAAAACCCATTGCCATTGTTCTTGAGTTCTCAGTAGTCCTCATTGTCCGCTATGTTCAGCGAGACCGGTTTTATCCCGGGCTTTTTCAGACCCAGGCCAGCTGGCCTTGTCTCAGTATGTGGGTCCACCCCTCACGGTCCTGAGTTCCTTGCTCATGCTCTCTCAGGGGGACTTGTTTGGGGGAGGGGGAGGGAAATGGGAGGCAGTGGCGGGGGAGAGAAATGGGAGGCAGTGGCGGGGGAGAGACAGAAATCTTCAATAAATAAATAAATTAATTAAAAAAATAAAATAAAATAACCTTTCCATCTCAATTATGTCACTTCCACTGTGTGTGTACGTGGGGGGGGGGCGCAGCTGGAATGTTAACGCCAAATTTTAATGGCATCAATAATAAAAATCGATGTGTATTAAAAAACAAATAAAAAGTCAAACAATTTAAAGGGAAGAGGAGAACAAAGCAATTACCTAGCATTGCAGTGTTCTGGAATGAGCACAGTTAGATTGTTTGTAATGTGTAATGATGGGAAACTTTAGTGGACAGAGTCACAAGAGTTGGTGAACTTCTGAACAGTGGCCCCACTGACCTCAGTTCTACTTCTCCAACTCTGAGAACTACTTTGACTTCAAACCTCAGCAGGCAACTTATTTGAATACATTGTTAGGTGTATCTGAGCCCATGTGAACTCACAAGTCCTATTTTGCTGTTGTGTGCTCTGTTATAAATAATGATGAGGGAATATCATATTTGGTGTAATAAATAAAATTTTGATAAATTCAAATACAGGTATATCTACTGCTACCATATCTTCCTTTTCCTATATTCAGGGCAACTAATGCTATACTCAAGGATTCTTGTGTAGATGTTCAATCAGTTTGCAGCTCACTATACTGTATATTTCTGAGCATTGCTGACCAGCACCATTTTGTTCAAGGAAGCAGGGTTCTGCTCTATGTTTACAATTGTTTTTATAGATTTTAATCTACTAGGAAAAACCCTTGTTGTTTAAGAAATGTCACTGTATCTAGAATTATTCTTTAGAATAACATGTTCCCCTTCAGCTCCCAATTCCAGAAAATTTATAATTACAAATTATTATTTTCATAGTTATTTTTGTTCTTTGTTTTCTTGACATGAGGTTGGACAGGAGAATGATTAAAAGACTGGAAGACGAAGAGTAATGAACTCTGGGTACTATGGGCTTGCTTACTCTTAGGTTTAAAATGTGACTTATAGCATACATTTGTGATATAGAAAAATTCCAGGGTCAATTTACTGACTAAAGGACATTAAAAAAATACAAACCCAAACCTTCTGTACCATGTTCCTTCAATGACCTTAATGATATATATTAACTGCCTAAACTAGCAAAACACTTGTCAAATAATGTCCTTTGTCTCCTCCTCACAGGATGCTGAATATGCATACTTCAGAGTCCCCGGACTTCTTACACTGAGAACTGCTTTAATTATGCACCTTCAGAAGAATACTGCCATTGATGTTTGGACTGAATTTTCTGGATGCTTGTCAGAAGAGTGGAGTATTACCTTAAGTCAGAGTTGCCCATATTTCTTAATTCTTGCTGATGAAGGCCTGAACGACCAACAGACACACCTTTTCAACTTTTTAGTCATTCAATCTTGGGCAGCAAAGGTCAACATTGCTCTCTTCTCAGGGCAAACATCTGACATCATCCGTCTTTATGCATATTTTATGCAAAGCTCATATTCAAAGCAGCTGTTTTTCAAGCAGGTAATATATATCTAAAGACAATTTTCTAGAGATTTATAAACAGTTCTAAATTAATTCAGAAGATAAGGCTCTTTAAGAATGCTTGCTAGTTTTGTACCCATGTCAGGTAGTTCATAACTGCCTATAACTCTAGCCCAAGGGGATTTGACAGCTCTGTATACTGCACTTACATGAACATACCTACAAAACTATATATATGAATGTGTACATACAGAGAGACAGATACATATACATACACACAAAACTAAAAATGAAACAAATCTTTAAAAAATAGCTATCTTGATTCAATATTGACTCTACCCATAATACAGAGTCTATTCTAGTTTCAACCGGATAATATATAGGTTAATAATAATGATAATTAATAGTGATAACATATAGTAATTTGCTAATTAGTTCTTATTGTATTATAGTTCTTGACACTTACAAATTGGTATATTTGAAAACTAGTTTTTTTAATTTTTCAGAGTTAAGCACATTTACTAACTTAATAAATAAATATAGTTTGCTTATTTTTCACTAGGTGAGGTGAGTTCTGCATATGAATATCATTCCATAGCTCAAAAAAGTAGGTTTAGAACCAATTAGCATATTGCCTCTGTTAGAATTGTATCATGCTCATTATCACACATTTACATATATGGAAATATATTTATTTTGCTTTGCTAGGATTCCTATCACTAAAGTGTTCCTAACTTTGAATGCCAGCTATGAAGAGAAACAGGCCTGGTTTTATTTTTATATTCAAGGCAAATATTAAATATTGAGTTTATGTTGTGACTCTTTTTGTGGACTGTGTCCCACTGTGTAGCTCATCTTTGTCTGGAACTCACAAAGCTACAATTCCTCTTCAGTTTTGGATGCCGGGATTAAAAGCATGAGCCACCACACCTAGTCCAAGTATATAGCATTCTGTTGATAGCAGTTTCTGAACCTGAGAAACCTTACAGATATTCTTCCTAGAACACATTTTAATGCAGAATTTTATTTATAAAAAAATTATGCCCCAATTTACTGAAATTCACCTTAAAGAAATGTTTTTACATTAACTGATTTGAGGAGTACTTAGAATTTAAAATACAATGGAATATAGCTTATGACTCAATTTGTATACTAGTGGAAATGGCATTGAAACTGTTGGCAATGACTGTTTCCAGCACCGTAGATGCACAGGGTGAGAGGATTCTAATCTCTCCTTAGGTGCTTGGTTGAAATGTGTCATAGTGAAACACACTGAATTTATATCATTTGTATCTTTATGGAACTGCTAAAATCAGGTGATATATTGCTAGATGGGATAACCTGGAAGGGTTTCCAAGCCTTGCTGACCATCCTCGATCACAGCAGGGTAGATTGTAAACTCAGGACTGCATTGTAATATGACTATTTCTTCAATTTCTGAGTTCTGTAGACGAAAAACAATGATGTATTTGTGAAAATTTATTTTATTTTGTTTTTCAGTTTGAGAAGGACATTATGATTGATTACAAAACCCTGATTCAACAGTTGGAAAAATGTAGAGACCTGGATTTAACAACTCTATTTGGAGATTTGACATTCAATAATATGGTGGAAAAGGTAATAGAACTTGAAAAAAAAAACACTCTTTAGTTGAACTTTATTTTTAAAAGTGTTTGTGTGTAGGTCTGAGTACAACCCTGTGTATCACTGCTAATGTTTTACCTTGTTTGAGACCAGCAAACTTCTTTTATTTCTCTAGTCTAATGGATATAGTAACAGGTCTCTTGTGGCAGTGGAGAGTGGGAGAGATACTAGAAATAGTTCCCCTATTCCTGGTTTAAGAAGAAATGTTTCTAGTTCTTCTTGTTAAGTAGGACTAAGATAAAGATGTGTCTAGTCTCTGATGTAAAGAAGATGAGCCTGAGATTCTCCTATTGTTTAGACCATGAATACAGTAGTGTAACTATACCACAGTACTGTTGTTTTGCCCTTACTTTTATTGTTGTCATGATGCATTTGCACATTTTTTTTAAAATATTCCATTCTTGCTATCCATATACTTCATCATGGTGTCGGGATTTATTGATATGGTCTTGGGTTCTGTTTGCTCTATTTCCTGTTGAATTTTTGCCTTGCTTGGCATCAGTGATACTTTAGTGTAATTTCAGTCTTTTTACTGTCTTACGTTTATTTGTAGCATTTTATGTTCTTACAGAAAAGAATGCTCAGGCTTTATATTTAGTATTCTGAAATCCGGTCTAAACCAGGAATTATCCAATCTGTGATAATTTTGTAAATTTTTCTGCCTGAAACTTGGCACATATTTGTCAGGATGGTTTCTTAGTTACTTTGCCTGTGATGTGGATGTTGGTGTGTTTAGGCCTACTATGAAGTAGGTTTCTGTCTCAGTTTCTCTTCTGCCTTAGTTTTGTTTTGTACATCTGTGATTTCTCTTATTTCTTTAATAATGTTTGTCTAATTTTAGCTTGAGTCAATATATACATATATTGACTAGATATATAAAATTTTATTCTCTTAGGCTATGATTTCATCTTATACTTTTTTATTTTCTTGTTTCTTTTTATCTACTTTTTTTAGAAGAGCATTTAATTGATCTATTTTCTCACTTTTGGTATTAAACATTGCTAGTGTGATATGTTTTTCTCTGAACAGTGCTTTCATTACATGACAAAGATTTTGATATAGAGACAGTAATTTTCAATGTAGTCCTTACATTATCATATTTAGTGATTATTATAATTTTAAATGATGCTCTTAACCACCACCCATAACTCCAGTTATAGGGGATCCCATGCTCTTCTCTGGCATCTGTGAACACCAAACATTTATGAGGCACAATCTTATGGGCAGGCAATATACTCACACCTTAAAGTAAAATAAATAATTAAAAATATAGAATATTAAAAATTTCAGATTAAAAATTACTTTCAAACCTTTAAAAAAATTTTTTTTAAAAAAGTTCTCTAATTGTCATGACGTGTTATAATTCTCTGTGGTGACAGGCTTGTGAGACGATGTCTCTACTCAAGCAACTCTGGCCAGAAGGCTCTGACATCCGGCGAGCCCTTTGTGTCACTTCATGCTCCCTCTTCTTGGAAATGTACCACAGCTTCTTAGAGAATAGAGAGAAGAAATCCTCCAAGAAGATGTGCAAAGTCAAACAGGTGTGGTTGCTGCACTAGGATGCACTTGTGCTTACCTATTTTATTGCTTTCACCAACCATTTCTCCACGTGGCAAGGGGTTCTCTCTTGCTTATATGAACAGCAGAAATAGGACAATCCCTGAAATTCATGTCATAAAGGAATATGCTGTTCTATGACTTACTGTGTTTCCTACAGGTGCTTCACGTGGGATATTTGTAGTGTTCATCACCTGCAGACAGGCAAAGGAAGAAACAACCTGCTATGCTACTGTGCTTTGAGCTTTTCCTGTGCACAGTTCACTAAATGCTCAGGAAAGAATTGTTATTTCTATTTCACTATTAAAGTACAGACTTTTGGTTTTTGAGAGTAACAGTCCTCCAACCCAAGGTGCTAAATAGCAATGTAGTTTGGATTAAGGTTTATCATGTGCAAATTTCTCAGTGACTTTAAAAGATAGGCTCACACAGTGGTACCCTACTGCTTGGGGACAGACTACTGTTCTTAGTTCTCTTTATTGCAGAAAAGGTCAAGAATCTGATGGCCAGTTGAGATTTAGCTATGACTAAAGAGTCATCTCTGCATATATGTTCTCATGGGCACTAAAGTATATACATGTGCACATTCCATTTTATATGTAATCTCAGTACTATAGAGTCTCAGCTTATGAATCCTAGCAACTTTCTTGATTTCAAAAATGAACAAGGACCAGTTTTTAATATTTCACTTTGCGGTGAAATATACTCATTAAGTATAATTTTTAATGGGACCTTTCTGCATGATTAGAACTCCAATTTAATTCATCTCTAAATCATGATAGTTAGTCAACATTTACTTTTTGGAACTTCTAAACATTGGACCCTCTCTGGCATCCTAGGAGCATCCCATTGAAGTCTCCTTGCTCCCAGATATGCCAAAATGTTTGCCAATAGCAATGGTGTCCCTGCCCCATGATGCTAAGCATATCTACTTATTTACCTCTGTTCTCATCGTGCAGTTACAGCCTGGAGCTACATTGCCACTCTGCTGTCCTCATGGAGGTAGTTCATAATATTGCCTTCAGAGTAGGTTGTTAAAGACAGAAGGGAGAATGTAGCATATAGCTCCACCCACTCAAGGTCCCTTGGAACCTCCTGTTCATCACCTAGTTTATTAGTTTATATCTAGAGTCCCTGAAAATACTGACTAATGCCTTATACCAGGTTCTGCAAAGCTAGACACTTCCTTTCCCCTCTTTCTCAAACGTGTTTAAACACAGCCTTGTTTCTGGATAAGTACTGTCTCAGAAACAGAGAATGTGTAAATGTGGAATTCCCACCTAGAGAGCTTAGCTACAAAGTTCAGGCTTCTGTAGATTGAGTGTGTAGTCCCAGCCTACTGTTCTCTACTTATCTTCTTTACTTTCTACAGCAACAAGGTAGGTGTTTAACCCTGAAGGACGTGGAAGACTTCTGTAAGCTCCATTGCCTCAGTGTCGTTTTTCATCTTCATCTACCTCTTTCTCAAAGAGCCTGCTCAAGATTTGTCACTTCTGATTGGATTAAGGACCTCAAGACTGTCTTTAAAATGGTAAAAATACTCGCTTTTCATTTATACTTTTGTTTAAACTACATGATACATATAAAATACATTAACCTTCAAACAGGTTTATATAGGGTGGTGTTAAATTTTGAGGTATTGTTGGTGTTAAAATTTGATTGGCTTCCTTAAATCAGTCACTTGACTAGTTTTAACAATCATTTTAAGTGATAAATTGTTATGAATAACAACCATCATGGCATGCATCCAACCCAAAGAGGAGCTTCTTGACATTTTCCTTCATAAAATTCTTGTCAGTGTGAAGATTTGTGTCATTTACGAGGAAGTTCCTGGAGACCACCATCTTCTGCGTTGAGAAAGAGTTGAGAAAACAGATGCAAAGCTTTATTATTTTTTCCCATTATAGATTATGGATACAGAGATTTTGGAGACTTTAGGAGACCAGAAAGCAAAAATCTCTCCAGAGTCTTCTGTGCAAACGAGTGCTAGAATCTGCTAACACTCCAGTTTACTCTCTTCATTTTAAATGAACAGATTTTTTCTGTTTTTATAGCATGGAAAATATCCATATACATTTTTTCTTTTTGCATTTTCTTACTTTCTTTATAATATTGGATGCTATCATCTTTAATGACTACTAGTTACATCTTAATATATGTGCAGTATATATATTTATTTACATAAATAAATATTATATGTATATATTTGTGTATTTATACATATATTAGCCATGTAGACTTTCTTTTAGAATCTGAGATAAATAGTCAAGAAAAGTGTCTTATGCCCAAAGAAATTCAGAATGTGCTCTTCTGACCTGGAGATGGAGTGAGATGAACACCCTTCATCATTCCACCCTAGCTTTTCCAGACAATTATATCTTATAGTGAAGACATAGACTGAATTTTCAGACTTATTATGAAGGAAGAACTAGAGTACTTTTGAAACCAATAGTTAAAAGATCTAGCCAAGTTTGCAAGGGTTTCTCTTAATAAGTTATATGACCCAGCCGGGCGATGGTGGCGCATGCCTTTAATCCCAGCACTCGGGAGGCAGAGGCAGGCGGATTTCTGCGAGTTCGAGACCAACCTGTGTTGAAATAAGAGTAGCGGCGGGGCTGCGTCCCCAACACCCCGGCTGCTTGGCTAGCTTATGCCCGAAATAACAACACACAAACTGTATTCATTTAAGAACTGCTTGGCCCATGAACTCTAACCCTTACAGGCTAATTCTTGCACCTGGACTAGCCCATTTCTAATGATGTGTGTAAGCACCCCAAGGTGCGCTTACCAGGAAGAGTCTAGCCTCCGTCCATCCTGGTGTCTCTGCTCCAGAGAGCAGAGCTGTTGGGTCTCTCTGGGAGCAGAGCAGAGTCTGACCTCACTTCCTCTTCCGCCCAGAATTCTATTCTGTTTACTCCTCCCACCAATGCTTTAACCTACGAGGCCAAGCAGTGCGTTTATTACTTAACCAATGAAATCAACAGATTGATATATGACACTCCCACATCACTTCCCCTTTTTCTGTTTAAACAAAAATAAAAGGAAGGCTTATGGAGGTAGGTCTTGTATCTTATCTAACCTGGTCTACAGAGCTAGTTCCAGGACAGGCTCCAAAGCCACAGAGAAGCCCTGTATCAAAAAACCAAAAAAAAAAAAAAAGTTATATGACCCAAGTCTTGAAGGATGGGTAGCAGGGTGGACAGAATGGAAATCAGATTGTGGGAGAAGAAGTACTGTGTGTGATTGTCCTGAAAATATCACAGTCAAGGAACTGAGGTCCACTCCTTGTATCAATGACAGAAAACTATAGGGTTAGTGATGAAGCTGAAGTAGTGGGCAAGAGACAAATGAGGTAGCATCCTGTAGGTCAGGATAGATAAGTTCATCATACATTCACTGAGTGCCTACTAAATGGATTTTATGTAGGCAAATGGCACTTTTTTATTTTTTTAAAGCATGTTTGACTTGGAATGTAGACCACACAGTGTAGATTCAAAACTGGATTTGGGGCTATTAGAGGAATATTCTGGTACCTTCCTGTTGATGGTGTTAGAGACTAATGAAGAGACTTTTTAGCCCTCTACAATATACTCTGAATATACTTCTACAGTAGCACTCTGAAGAGTGACTTAAGTCTACCTGGAGCCAGCACAGCTGCATGGAGAGTGTGCCTTTCTTACTCAATGTGGAATAGCATTTGTATATATGCCCCTGTCTCAAAGTCCAATAAGGGAGAATTGAAGGAAATTCGTGACGTATATTGATTTGACAGGGACTAATGTGGCGATTAAGGCACATTAATTTTACTTGATAGTGCTTGTATTGCATTTACTATATTAGCATAATGTTACCTGGGGTGGGAACTGTAAGTAAGGAATAGGACACATGAGTGATGGTTCAGTTGGTAGAGCACGTGCCTTGGAAACCTGAGAAGCAGACTTTGATCTTCAATGGAGAACCATGTAAAACATCAAATCAGGTTTGGCGATGCTCACTTGTAATTCCAAAGATAAGTGAATGGGAAGATCGCTTGTTCACCATCCATCCTACTTGCTCAAGCTCCAGGCCAATGAGAGACCCTGTCACATTTGTAAAGTGGGATTTACGAGGCAAAGACTCCTGAAGTCATTCTGTGGCCTCTGCACACCGGCACACACCCATACCATGCTCATAGCCATACATAACAGGGTCAGGATGTACTGAATATGTGCACTGGTGAACATTCATAGCCACTGTAATGGAATTTCTACAGAGTTCTACAGTGTGGTAAATACTACACATGGTGAAGGTGGCTCTGTGTAGGTTCTACTGATTCTTGAGAGAAAGTTCTGTATCCTAAACCCCATAGGAGGACATTCCTCTAGGTGTTTTGTTAGAGCCTAAGAGTAGCAGGCTCTGTGTGACTCTGTTATTAATGAAAGATAGGAAGACTCCACTTCTCAATCCCATTTTTATTTAAATTCTTTAATAGGGGTCATTTTAGGTTAATATATTATATCTATTTGGTATCTGCAATTAAAATAAACCTTGTGGCACCAGTAATGTGCTTTGACTTTTATAATTAATTTATTTCTCAGTTATACTAAATTATTGTGTCAACTTTATGTAGTTAAGTCTGGTCCACATTTGGGAGCTGGCGTGAATGCAGCAGGTGTGATACAGACTTGAATGGAAGCCTCCTTTGCACAACTTTATCAGTGAAGATTTTCTGACAATTTTTAAGACACTGGGATGTGGTTTAGGTTAAAAGACACTACAAAGATGAAATATTTGGCAATGTTCTAAGATGGCCTGGCAGGAGATACCTGATAATTTTAGTTGATCAGAAACAGCAACTTCATTCTCTTCTTTATGTTGGGAAGCATTAAGTTTTAATACTTAAGAAAATTGAGTGAAGAAATATCACTTGGGAGCCTCTCTGTAAACCATACCATTGAGGAAGACTCATGTCTACTGTGACCAGATGTAAATGCTGTTTGTGCAGACATTCTGTCTGTGTTATGATGGAATATCATGGTGCAGCCTTAAGTTGATGGAGACCTATCAACATTGGTGGATGAAAAACGTTTTTCTTTTTAGTACCCTTAGCAGCCCAACATTGAGAACACAAAGTAAACAACGAAACCTAAGTGAATAACAGAAGCACATTCAAAAGCTGAAGAAATATGTAGTTTTTGAGATTTTAGATCACAATGGGAAGAAAAAATGAATAGTAAATAAATAATTATTTCTTTAACTCATAATAAAAAGTTTTTTTTTTTTTTTTTGGACAAGATCTTACTGTGTAACCCAGGTTGGTCTGAGCCTGACTGTGTAACATAGACTGGCCTTAATCTGGCAGGCATCCTCCTGCTTTAGCCTCCCAAGGGCTGGAATTATGTGCAGCTTAAATTAATTTTTGAGTCATTTTTTATTTTATATAATGCTTCAATTTTTAAGGAATAATATAATTCTCATTTAGACCAAGTGGGCTTACATTCTAATGAGAATTTGGACAGTCTTGTCATCTGCCTTTCATTTGGATTATAGAGGTGTATGGGGTAATTAATTCTACGTATTACTGTAGACATAAAAGCTGTCAATAACTTCTTTTTTTTATTTCCAGAAACAGTGGTGCGAGTATTTCATCCTCAGTAATGTGCACATGATTGGATTTTGGAGTTTGGATTTACTTCACCTTTCTGATTTTAGTGATGAGCCTTTGTTGAAGAATATTGCTTTTTACTATGAAAATGAAAATGCAGAAGGTATCAGCTTACTATATAATACACATCACCTTCCTTTAGAGAGAAAATGCAGAAGGTATCAGCTATATAATACATATCACCTTCCTTTAGAGAGAAAATGCAGAGAGTATCAGCTTACTATATAATACACATCATCTTGCTTTAGAGAGAAAGCTCATGAAGAGTTTCAAGCTTCAAAACCATTTCTTTACTGTCTATTGTATAAATAGTAATTATTTTCAAGTTTCCCAGTCTTTATTTATATTTTTTTATTTTTGACAATCAGAATGAATATAACAATTCAAAATAATTTTCAACTTATTATTATTCCGTAATTATTTTTGTTAAAAGTATGCGTTCATGTGTTTGACAGTTCATAACAGTTTGTTTTCATGCATGGCATGTAATGTTTATTTATAAAATTGCTCATGGATAGAAACATTTTACTTTATTAGATATTTAGGGATTTTAAGTTTTCTAAGAGATAATCTTTATACTTTCTTATGTAATTTGTTTATTTGATAGAATAATTTTCTTGTGCTTTTATAGCCAAGGTAAAAGAAAACACATTTTAAGAGAACAGTGCTTGAGTGAATAGTATAGAAATATCTTTGACATCAAGATTTTGTCCTGTCATATTTTAGGAAATGAAATTAATTACCTACTTTGAAAATAATGATTCTTTTTAATTTTTTATTTTAGTTTTATTCAATGTTATTGGTTACAAAATTATATGTGGTATAATATTTTTATCATCTTAAAAATAATTAAATCTCTGCTGTTGGTTATCATTAGTTAAGACATAAATTTTTAATATTAAATTTCAAGCATAAATACAAGATAAGTTTTAATATGTGCCATGGCATTGTCCACAGCTTTGATCTTTTTCATTTAGATTCAGTGGGAAGCTCACTGAAAATTCCACTGTTAGCATCATAATTCAGAGCCTAGTGACTTTAGTGATGTTTTGTGCTTTAATGCATGTGTCAGTGCTTCTTAACATTTTATTTTTCATTGTGATCCAGGCCTTGATTTGAATGTAGGAGATGCCATCATGGAGGAGTATGTACATCTCTGGAACACAGTGTCAAAGTTGGTGGGAAAATTTGAAGTAGGAAATTCATTTCCTTTGAGAACAACAGAATGCCATTTTCTTAAAAAGACACCATCGCCAGTCAAAGGTAACTGATTCCTAACTATTTGTCATTTTCTTTAAAAGATCCCATCACCAGTCAAAGATAACTGATTCCTAACTTAAACTGAGGAAGAAAAAAACCCTCTTGGAAAACTCCAAGGATAAATCGTTTTGTAGTATTTGTGTGTTTGAATAGTTGTCATGTCCATGGGGTGGTGTGCTTTGACTAATATTGAAATTTTATATCTTGTTTGTAATTAATATTGCCATTTTAAAAAGTCAAACCATATGTAAGTGAATTCTCTTTCTAGCAATGTGACCTCTGTCAACAAAATTTTTCAATATCCTGTTACATCATGAGGACTCTTCTCCAAATAATAAAAAGGGGAAAGCCTGTAAAATAACTGGGGAGGCTGAGTCCCATCTACACCTGCATAGAGATTAGTGTGGTAACATGTTCAGCATCTGTGTTGTATATAAACAAAGTAAACAGTAGACTTGTGTTGGGAAGAATATGAGATGCTAAAGAATAAAAAGGAGCCAGCAGCCATTTTAGAAATTCTTTGCCCAAATCAGTGCATTTGCCTTCTTTGTGCTGCAGATGTACAGAGTGTCTCTGGTGACAGACACAGAAGAGGCCAGAGCCAGGAGGTGGTAGAACTGACAGTCTTTAGAAAGCCAAGGTCTACAGGAGCAAACCTCAAAGCTTAGCTCCTCCCAGACCTGCCTTTCAGTGAACAGAAATAACAAAGAAGTCATACTGTTTCTGCAGCATAATAAATCACTCTTGAGAATTTGGAATTTAAATTGTTAGGCCACAAAGCCGCTTTAATCCAGTAAATGAAAGTGATTGGAAAGATCTGGCAAATTATTATGAGGAAGAAATCATAAACAATTTTAAACAAATCATAAACAAGGATTATGTGTCAAAGATGGATGCTGATAGAATTCATGGAAGAGCTGAGGAACAACTAAGAACACAATTAGCTGTATGTAGGCAGAAGCTGCTCATTTGTTCCCATCTACTTAGACCCAAAATAATCACGCAGAAAGCATATTATTTGCAATACTGTTTGGTCAATAGCTTAAGCATATTTCTAGCTAACTCTTATATCCTAAACTAACCCATTTCCATTAATCTGTGTGTTGCCACGTGGCTGTGGTTTACTGGGTAAAGTTCTGTTTGGCATCTGTCTCTTGTGGAGCTACATGACTTCTCTCTGATTCTGCCTACTCTCTCTCTATGTATATCTCTTCTAGGCTGGCTATGTTCTGTTAAGCCATTGGGCAAAAGCAGCTTCTTTATTAACCAGTAAAAACAACTCATATAAGAAGGACTTCCCACATCACTTCCACTTTTCTGTTTAAATAGAAGGGAAAACTTTACTTTTAACATAGTGAAATTACATATAACAAGACAGATATTAAGCAAGAATTAGAGTTACAATATTTATATCTACTTTATCTACCATAACTAAGGAAAACTATAACTATAACTTTCTATTCTTCAACTCCATCAAAGACTTCAGAGGGTAATATTGGGAGCCAATCTGTTGTAAGAGTCTGTTTGTTCATTTCCTGGCCACCCAGACTCCCAAAATAATCACTCAGAAACTATATTATTTAAATCACAACTTGGCTAATCATTTAAGTGTAATTATTAGCTAGGTCTTATATCTCTGCTTAGCCCATTTCTATTATTTTATATTTTACCATGAAGTTCGTAGCCCACCGGGAAGCTTCCAGCTGACTCTCCCCTCTGGTGGCTGCACAGCATCTCTTGACTCTACCTTCTTTCTTGCAGCATTCAATTTAGTTTTTTCTGCCTAGCTCACTTATACCCTATTACAGGCCAAAACTGCTTCTTTGTTAACATTTACAGCATACAGAGGGGAATCCCATATCAGCTGTGGACTTAGAACTGATAAATTCTGTTTTTATAATTATCACAATTATTATATACTCTCTGAATATAATTTGAAAACATTTAAGAGAGATTAAATGTAAAATTAGAAATGAGAAAAATAATAAAACTTTAAAACAATATTTATTTATATAACCAAACTTGTAGAAATCAAAATACCGAGTGGGTTTAAGAGTCGATTGGATATTAATAATGGGGTTGTTTGGGCTTTATAAGTAAATAGAAAAAGAGTCATACTTAAGGTTGGAGACATCCCTCCCTCATGTGTAGAGTGTCCTAGCATGTGTGAAGTTATGTGCTCAGTTTCCAGCACAAGAAAACAGAACAGGTCAAATATACCATTATGAGAAATGACAAAAGCTAGTCATAGAAAGAAAAATACCGTGTGATGCCATTACATACATAGTCTAAAAAATACATAGAAGTAGAATAAAGCAAACAGGAAGTTATTGAAGAAACAGTGTTGGGGTTGGGGAAATGTAGGTCAAAGGGTACACATATGGAAGATAAATATATATGGACGACAATAGGTCTGTATTTGATGTACTTGATGAGTCTATGAGGGCTAACAGTAATCATATATTTCATAATAAACACTGGTGATTTGGGAAAAGAAAAGATTTTAGGCAAATTCAACACCACCACAGAAACCTACAAGGACATATTGATAATATTTAATATAGTGGCCATATTAATTTTCCTGGCTGTATTACTAGCTTACTCTGTGTATCCTTTGGTTTTCATGGTGTGTGTTTCTTCAGACAAGGTACTATGTAGTCTGGAATAGTGTTGAACACACAAGATAGCTGGGGATGATTTTGAGTTCCTGATTTTCCTGCCTCCTGCTAAGAACACAGGCATACACCCCTAGGCCCAACTAAGACTATGCATCTCTCTATCTCTCTCTAAATTCTATCTGTCTGTCTATCTATCTATCTATCTATCTATCTATCTATCTATCTATCTATCTATCTATCTATCTATCATCTATTTTCTATCTGCCGTATATATAGTTATAGGGATATATCCCTATAACTATCATTGATCTATATTCTATCTATCAATGTATCAATCTCTCTCCTGACTATCTATCTGTCTGTCTATCTATCTATCTATCTATCTATCTATCTATCATCATCATCATCATCTATCATCTGTCTATCTATCTATCTTCACACACATATTAATGTTTCAAATTAAGTATATTAAAATATGGTATATATCTGAAATAAATATAAAATTAAAATTCAGCACAGAAGATATTAAAAGACATGGACACTAAAAACTAACCTTTGGTTCATTTGGAAACTTGGAAAGAAAGAAGGAATTGATGGGAGTGGAATTATGTTTAGAAAGTAATGACCTAACCTTTACCTGCATTAATCAAGACAAATTTTATACATTTAGGATGTCAAATCAGGTAAGTTAAATGCAAAAACATATTAAGCCAGAAGAATGCACTCCCTTGACACACGAAGGGAAACTGCAACATGTAAAAGCTACAGAGCATCTCATAGGATTCATAATTAACTTTAAAGGAAAAATTAGCTCTAAAGAATTAGACAAGTGACAGGTTTCTCAGTAATGATGAAATTCAGAATGTAGCAGAATTATGTAATTATTAAATTATATAAGGGTAGAGGAATATTTGCAGAAAAACAAAAATGGTTTAGTCATAAAAACATCTTTAATATTGTAATGAATTTTAGAAAAATTATTTTAGAGGAAGTATCAAAAGGAATGTTCACAGAGAACTTAGGATATCTACATATGTACATACTTGTGTGTGTATATGTATGCATGTATGTACATATGTATACATGTATTCTTGTCTTCTATAACAATGAATCCCACCAGATGAAAGAACACTGGTACAAAGAGTTAACTGTACCAGTCAGAGGGTGAATACTTATATACGTATATGTGTGTGTGTGTGTGTGTGTGTGTGTGTATTCTTGTGGTCTTTGACAATGAATTCCACCCAACAAAAGAACACTGGTGCAAGGAGTTTACTGTAGCAGTCAGAGAGTGGTTCAAATTAGGTTAGGGCAAGAAATGAAGAGCACTCTGAAAAGCCTGTCTATGTGCAGGTTTCCACTTTGGGAGACATGAGGTCAACTGGGAACCTTAGAGTGGGGTTCACACTATCTTGGAAACATCTCTTGCAAGGAACAAGAGAGCTGGGGTATTTATTCTCTAGTTCCTGTTATGACTTTGGCTGAGGGTCATTCTCATTGCTTCTGGTTTCATCTCTGTGGCTATAGGGAGGAAAGTAATTTAACTGTTGCTGAAGGTAGCCTGGGCAAACACAGAAACAGAAAGCATCAGGAGAATTATGAACAATATGTTAAAAATTATTCACTAGCCAGTTATCACAGCTATAAGATGGGTCTGATCTATTTATCATCTGTCTGTCTATCTGTCTTTCTGTCTAACTGTGTCTGTCTGTCTGACATCTATCCATAACCCACATACTTACCATCTAACTGTCATCTGTCTATCTCATCTATCATTTTGTCATTTATCTACCTGCTTTTGCATAAGTTTGTGTATAAACCAAAAGGAAGCTCAAAGGGAGTATTGTAATAACCTCAATCTCATGACTTTTGTTTTTTCCCTATTTTAATTTATATTTGACACTATGTATGTGATCTCTCAGATTGTTATCTTTAGAAATTTTATCACTTATTAAACAAAAGTGAAGGGATTAAATATTTGAACATAAGCACTACACAAATTATCTTTTATCTATTATTTATCTCTCTATCATCTATCAAAAATGTCATCTTTATCATAATGTTTCTATCTAGCCATATACCTATCATCTCTCTAGCCATTGGGCTACCTACATTTTTAATCTATATTATTATCTATATAACTATTTGCTTAGTTATTATTCATTAATTTTCTATGATGTTCCAATAGTTTCAGAGTAGGAAATAACTTTATGAACAGGATTGAAATTAAAATATAAATGAATATGAAATGTTTTTAAAGGTGAAATCTTGGGAAACAATTATAGTGTCATCTTTTCTGAAAATTTCACATTTAACTTGATCATATTTATTTTTGTTTACAGAAAGTTCTCAAGAAAAGATGCCAAATTTGGGTTTTATTCCAATGTCATGTGCTTTGGTTGATGAATTTACTGGTGACATTTTGAAAGACTTGCCTTTCCTAAAGAAGTAAGACCTCCATATGTATTAATAAGTACTTGTTTGGAATGCATAATAGTCATTTATTAAATATTCTTGGAGAAGGCTTTTTCTGAAGAAACTGCAGAAATATGCTACATTAAAGATAGTGAATTACATGTAATATATATTGGCAGCATATTGCCCATTGCCCATCTTTATGATATCTGTGTCATTTTTTATTGGAGAACAAAGCACTCTACTCCTATTTTTAAGTTAATAGAACAAGGAATGTTTGAGAGTGTTGGAGACCTGAAGTGGTCCTGGCTTCTGAAACTTCTAAGAAAATGCTTTTTTTTGCATTCAAATACACATGTTGTATCCCAGGAAGATAAGAAGAAACTATGATTTTCAAAGTTATAAAATGTATTGGATTTAAAGGCCTGGAATTTGATATATGCTTGTATTTCTTTTTGTCTTCCAGTGATGACCCCATTGTTTCCTCACTGGTTAAGCATAAGGAATTCGATGAGCTTGTGCACTGGCATTCCCACAGACCTCTCAGTGATGACTATGACAGGACAAAGGCCAATTTCAATGGTGAGCTTGCCGTTTCTGCTAAACTAATTGAAAGCTACATCACTCTGGCCTTTATTTCAAAGTATAAATCACGTTATGAACTCAAATCAAAAGTTTTGGCGAAGAACATTCAACAGGGCATTCAGAGGGACAACAGGAAGGATGTTACAGAGATTTCTCCCTTTGTTTCCGTGTGGTTATTCATATGGAGGGTGGAGGTGGTTTAGGCAGAGGAGTGCATATGTGATCTTTGTCTCCTGAGTTTGACACTGTGTTAAGGAAAGAAGGCTTGTAGTTTAAGAAATCTGGATATCATTTGAAGTGTAATATATAGTGATGAAGCTCTCAGCTCTATGACTGTGTCCCAGGATGAAGGTCTTATTTTTTCCTATCTAATAATTCAAGGAGCCAGAATACCTCAGATGGCTTTCTTCTTGATTTTGCCTACAGGGCACAAACAGGTGACACATAGAGTCTGTCTCTAAAACAAAACAAAACAATCCCCTTAGAAAACCCAAAACACCTGGAAGGAAGGGTACTCATGGACTTTTAGTCCTTAATGCTAATCAGATAGATTCTGGAGGAGGGTCACCATTATCTCCATTGTGTACCCAGTGGTGTGCTCCCAGGGCTCCATAGGTAGTTGTACAATGGAAAAACTCAGAGTCCTCATTACAATTAATGAGTCAGAAATCAAAACAAAAATGCATGCGTTTGGGAAAAAGACTTTTATGGAGATGGGGGAAATGTCAAGTTAGATTGGATCTAAAAGAGAATGAGGTAAGTAATTAGAGTGTACCATATCCATTACGAAAGAACACATTTAATCAATAAAATTAAATAACATTCTTAGTATTTGCTTTTGGAAACAGACTGTAAAAAAAATTGTCTTGAAAGTGTTTGAGCTCCTGGGAGTTGTTGACCAGTAGCAGAACCCTTAAACTGCATGCATGAGATCCTAGGTTCAATTCCGTAAACAACAACAACAACAACACACACACATATATATATGAAAAATTGCCACTTTTGTAGACTTTTTGAAAGTCATTCTATAGATGGGATAGCCCAATTGAAGACAATTTTGGTTAAGTTTTTGGGCAAACTGCTCAGGCAAAATTGCTGTTGTATACTAGAAAGAATAGCACCTGTTTATGGAGTGGTGTGGAGAGTTAGAGATGCTTCTGAGAAAGCCTAATCATTTTACATTTTAAGTTTTTTCTTCTTCAGAGTGTACAAGAGACCCCCGTTATCTTAGAAGTGTGCAGAAATATCATGTTTTTCAACGATTTTATGGGAACTCATTAGAATCAGTCTCTTCTAAGCTCATCATAACTCAAGGTGCTAAGCCCAAGAAGGATTGCAGTAAGTCCAGGAGCAAAAAGCCACGTGTAAGTTTCCATAAATTCCATTATTATTAAAAGCTCTTGATACTGTTCTTTTTTATTGATTTTATTGTGTTATGCATTTTTCTCTGCTCTCCTCCTTTCCTCTCCCCTCCTGTTCAACCCTCTCCCTTGGTCCCCATGCCCCCAGTTTACTCAGGAGAGATATTCTTTATTAAATTGGTGGTTCTCATCACTTTGATGGCTTTTTCCATCTTTTTTCTTATTTGGGTGTTGTGGTTTGAATGAGATGTCTCCCACAGTCTGAGCATTTGAGTGTGTGGCCCCCAGTTGGCAGCACTGTCTGGGGAGGCTCAGGAAGTTGCCCTTGCTGGAGGAAGTGTGTCACTGGAGGCCTGTTTGGAGAGCTTAAAGCCTTGCCATTCCTGCTTACAGTTTAAGACACAAACTTTCCGTTTCTTGCTCCAGGTGCTATGCCTCTGTACCGCAATCAGCAGATCTTAGCCCTCTGGAATCACAAGCTCAGATAAATTTTTTCTTCCATAAATTTTCTTGGCCATATCATTTGACTACAGCACAGAAAAGTAACACAAAGAACAAACATATTTATTATGATACCTGCTAGAAAGTCTAACTTCCATATAAATTATTACATATGATCCTTTATGCAATAACATCTACCTATTTAGAGAATCAAATAAAGCATTAAGTCAATAAATGTTTGGCTTAAAATTTTGCAATAATATTAAAATGTAGTTTATTAGTTAATAACAACCAGAATGTTTTTCACAAATCCAGCAAAAATAAGCATACAACACATGGGTTTCTTTGCCTGACTTATACAGATTTTCTATGCTTTCCTCCAAGTATTTATATAATTAATGTTTTTACTTTTTTTAAGGTATACAGTTAAACCTTCATGATAGAAACTTCATAATCATGTACGGAGTAGGAAGGTGACTCAGTAGGAAAGGTAACAAATGCAGTCCAGGAAAGAATAGTGGGTGCCACTGCTTGAAGACCTAAATAAATCTTTGCAAGGTCTCTTTGGTTTTATTATATTTACCCTTTTATATTTAACACTACATCGAAATTTAGGAAATTGTCTATGGCAAGTCTTTATATTCACTAAGTTGAATTATTATGTTTTCAATCAACAGTCTTAATTAAAGACATATTTTTATGATTATTCAAGTATGGGGTGATGGTCAAAATCATCTGAGCATACTTAAAATATTCACAAAAAATGTCAATGTGGGATAGTTCTTTCTTGTCACAAATTTGTTTCCTTCCATTTGGGCAGGAGACTAAGGCTGACAGAATTGCTAGAGAGAATAAGAAGAGGTTGATTGCCAAGGAAGAACAAAGGGAAGAACAACAATGGAATACCCTGTCATCTTCTATTGAGAAGGAGATGAAAAGGAATTTTAGCTCTGGGATGAAGAAGCTGGAAGAGTTTTTGAAATCATGTAAAAGTAACTCAGTAAAAGTTCAGGCTGAAAAAGTTGGGTTAACGGCTTGCTTGACAGCATGGAAGGAGCACTGCCGAGCTGAAGGTGTGTGGGGTGTAATTCGGGTGGCTTACCTTGATAAACTAGAGAGTCCAAAGAGATGTAAAGACGGTGTCTTTTCACCTACTAACTAGAAATTTGTATAGTAGAATTAATAAAGGGTTCTTTCCTCTGTTTTTATCAATGAGCAATGGCATCTAAGAGAGGTGACCAATAGCAAAGACAAAGCACATTCATAAGCACAATTGGAGATAGCTTTAAACTAACTGCTGACCAGGAAGAGAGCATTGTTAGCAGAACCAATAGCAGTGAGACACAGCAAGAACCCATCATTTATTTTTGAGTTTCAAAGGATAAACATTTTCTTTCTGGATAAGTTGGTGTTTATGCTTGCCTACTCACTTAATTTCCCCTTGGTTGTTGTGATAAAAAAATATTTTCATAAAATCAACTTAACGATTAAAGAGTTTATTCTATCTAATAGCTCAAGGGTATATATCTAATAGTTCAAGGGTATACAGTTCATTGTTGTGGAGGGCATATCCAAGTAGGAAGAGCTTAAAGAAGCTGGTCACATCATATTTACAATAGGAAGGCAGAGATGGATGAATTGAATGCATGCCTAGCTCAGTATCTCTTTTATGTAGTTCAAAATTCATGCAGAAGTCTAGGTTCCACTCAGAGTTCATATGGGTGTTCTTGTATCCATTAACCTCATAAAGATAATCCCTTACAAGCATGTTCAGAGGCCTGTCCTCCAGGTGATTATAAATCCTGTAAAATTTGCAATCAACACCAACCAAACAGACTTCAACATTGATCACCTCTACCATACAGACTTCTTCCAGAGTCACAGAGGCAATTTCATGTACTCTCCTTAACATTTATATGGAAGGGAATAGTATAAACAAAGAAAGAGAATGGGGATGATAAGGATAAAGTGGGACTGGATAGGTAGAGATATGTAAACTGAATAGAGGCGTACTATGTACCTTAGCAAGTATTTATCTTTCTTTCCAACCATGACACTGAGTAAGGATGTGAAGCTGGATATTATCGATAGAGATCAGAATTTAGAGTGACTTAAAATATAGTGCTTATTCCATTGAGAGATTACTTGTAAGTGCTGCAGACTGATAACAGAGTCCCTGCTGGGATCTCTGGATTCTTCTGTCCACCAACAAGAAATTGGGCAGGACCTATGGTTGAAACAGAGGCAGTCTCTTAAGGAACAAAGATGATCTTTCTGGGAAAGTTCAGAGGTTCAATGTCTTTGTGCCCATGCCCAGAGTTGTGACCTTCTATAAGTCATTCACATAACTCACTTACTCTCTATTTGCACACTGAAGTGTTTTCAGATTTATTATTTGTCTGTCTGTGTTGAGTGTCGACAGATGCAGGAAAGATTCCCTGAAGCAGATTCTACAGGTTGCCATGAGGCTTCTGACATTGTTTTTGGGAATCCAACTCTGTAAGAGTGGTGACAACTGTCACCACTAAAGAATCTCTCCAGCTCTATCTTTCTCCTTTAATGTACTTTACTGGCCATCAAAATCTTATTCTCAGATATCCTTAGTCAAAACTTAGTCACAGGCAACTTTAATCACAAGGAGGACCAGGAAACACATACTTTTACCTAGCTGTGTAGAATTCCCAATACCATACAGTGTAGGGATAAGTCCAGCCCCTTAGGGGGCATGTTTGCCTCGGGCTAATGTTTATCTATAAATCTGGCGAGCATGCTCCCAGCCCCGCCTTCTGCTTTCCTTGTCTCCGCAGAAAGGTGGTTCTGTAAGTCTATTTCCCCATTAAAGCTGTATATATTTTTACAATCTGTCTGCATTCATTTACGCCGATACAATACAGACATAAATAAGAAATCTTTGGAAATACATGGTGGATAAAGAAATCAAGAGTAGAAACTGCCACAAATGCCCTTCTCCTTGTGTTGCATACAACAAGAATTTACTTATCCTCCAAATTCAGTTCATAAAATATCTTTCCATAAAGCCTCTTTTAGCAAACAGATTCACATAATGTCTGTAGTTTCTAGTGCTCGGTGTGGGCCAATCATATATCATATACTATGTAAGTGAACTGAATGTTCCTGGAGCTTAAGACCTCTATTTCATTATGTGGCATCCTCTTGTATAAGAGCTTTCAATATAGGTTTGATAGCACTTGTTTAATAGGTGAGAGTGTGCATCAACTAAAAGAAAGGTGGAACAAAACAGAAGCGAGAATTAACATGTGAGCAGAGGGGAGAAACAGTGTGTGTGATGCTAGAGAATGGAGGGATGGTTGGAGTCTGGGTCTGATCGCTGAAGAGATGGATTGCACTGAGTGAACAGATTCAGCGCTTACATCCAGTAGCTCTCTGTGAACAACAGGGCTAAAGGAATGTTGCTAAGATTATAATCTTACGTTTAAAATCATGCAATTATTTTCTTTTAAAAAAGGAGACATAGGAATATGAGACAGAGAAAAGCTTTATAATTCACCACGAAATTCTATAAACTTCAATTGAATATTTTAATTGTGAACTGTAAGATTTTTATCTAGTCCTTTCTATTCTCAATCATCTGTTAATGCTAAGTAAGTTGGTTTCATAAATAGTAGTGTATAGCCTAGATGACTGCTCTTTGTTAATAAACATTTGTTACTTTGATAACTTTTATAACAATTTTATTATTTACATTTTGTATGAAGGTGAAGCCACAAAAGACTTCAGCATAGCTGTCGATATGATGAAGAGAATTCACTCCTTGCTGGACAAACACTCTGAGCTTCTGCAGGAAGCAGATCGGAAACTCATAGCCAGATGTCTTTTGTGTTTAGGGTTTGATGAACTAGCAAATTCTTTGTATCCAACTCAGGTAACATATTGTAAAAGCTTCATTTTTACACAGTTGTAATTTGCTACTTATAAAGCATCCTTCAAATACAGTGATTTTTTTATGTTCATTTATCATAAAAATACAATCTTGATTAATCCAACTACTAAATCTGAGTTACTCAAGAACTGTAAATTTTTATACTAATTGACTAAATGTCAAATAATTTCTGAAGACTTTTAAAACTAACCCAATACTTAATTCTAACAAAACAGCTTGTATCTATAATGGTGATGATGTAAATATGTCAGGTTGTAGCTACAAATATTTGAATAAGCATTTGAAATCTTGACATCTACTGATTTGCTTGTGTTTCAGAAAAGTGATAATGCCCTCAAGATGCTTAAGGGGTGATTAAAATTGTTTTCACAATTTTAACATTTCAACATTTATATCATGGTGTAACCTAAATTACTTTCAAAATAATCTTTTAAAACAATACAGGATGAAACAGATGACATAAAAATGAAAAAAAGGAATAAATATTCAGTAGGAATTGGGCCAGTTAGGTTCCAACTACAATATATGGGTCACCATTTGATACGAGAAGAAAGAAAAGATCCAGACCCCAGAGTCCAAGATTTTATTCCTGATACATGGCAGGTAAAAATATGAATAAAATTAATTATTGTATTTTATAATCATGTAAGAATCATGGAATTTTGTGCATCATAGAATTTCTTATTTTTCCAGCCTTCTCATTCTCTCTCTCTCCTCTCTCCTCCCCTCTTTTTCTCTTCTTTTTTTATTTG